TGTATCTAACATGCGTCTCCTTTTCCTTCTGTGTATACTGCTTCACTGTCAGACTGCTATTTCACACTTAAGGCTTGGAATGCTCAAAAGGCTGGAGCTGCTGCTATTCTTGTTGCTGATGATCGCAATGAACCTTTGATTACCATGGACACTCCTGAGGAAGAGGATGCAAAGGCAGATTATCTGCAAAATATAACTATTCCGTCAGCTCTAATTAGTCAATCGCTTGGGGATAGCATCAAGAAGCAACTATCTAAAGGGGAGATGGTTAACATAAACCTGGATTGGAGAGAGGCTCTTCCGCATCCTGATGAAAGAGTTGAGTACGAGTTTTGGACCAACAGTAATGATGAGTGTGGTCCTAAGTGTGAAAGCCAGAGAGAGTTTGTCAAAAACTTCAAAGGGGCTGCCCAGATACTTGAGCAGAAGGGGTATACACAATTCAGTCCCCATTACATAACTTGGTATTGTCCTGAGGCATTTATTTTGAGCAAGCAATGCAAGTCTCAGTGCATCAACCATGGGAGATACTGTGCTCCAGATCCTGAGCAAGACTTCAGCAAAGGTTATGATGGGAAGGATGTTGTTTTACAAAATCTGCGCCAAGCTTGCTTTTATAAGGTTGCCAATGATAGCGGGAAGCCCTGGTTGTGGTGGGACTACGTCACTGACTTTGGAATCCGGTGTCCAATGAAAGAGAAGAAGTACGATAAGGAGTGTGCAGATCAAGTAATCACATCCCTTGGTAGGTTGGAGTTTCTCGTTTTTGATGTTTCCTTTAACGAATTTCAGCTCATGCACATTTTTTCCAGTGTAAATATGCATTTGGTGTTAGAAAAATATATATGTTTGATGTTAATGGTTCAATGTGCTAACTGCGATGCATCTTTTCCTTGTAACATAGTGGTGATGATTAGTAATTACTGTTGCTTACTGTATTTTGGTAGTATTTCTGTCTTCACATCCTTGTCCATGAGCAGTGTGCACTGGGTCTTAGCCTCTTATGTATAGTCCAACTCCCTGGTCCATCTTCTGAGGCTAACTTTACTAAATTGTTATTTTTTGTGGATATCTTCTATTTTAGTTTGTCTAAGGCTCAGTCACTTAGTTATAACTGTTCTATTACACAATAAATACTTTTCAGCATTATATTTATGTCTTGTTTAGATGTGTTGATTTACAACAGTCTGAAGACGAGCTCAGATATAGTCAGACTTCCTGATAACACATGATTGTTTTCCCACTTGGGTTGTTGTGCTCTTATTGTAGTGATGCATTTAGATCTTTTATTTAGTTCAAATGTCTGAAAGTGTCATTCACCTTTTCTTTTAAAGCTTAAGGAATAGACCTTGTATTATTTTTATATATTGTTTGTTAATTATATGGTAGAGCACTATTCAATTGGCCTTGTTCTTTGTGAACTCGAGATTTTGTCCAACTGTTAACCTTGTTATTTTTTTCCGGAATGGACACAATAGGTTTTGATGTAAAACAGATAGATAAATGTGTTGGAGATCCTGAAGCTGATGCTGATAACCCTATTCTAAAGGCTGAACAAGAAGCTCAGGTGTGTCAAAAAGCAAATGATGGGGAAGCTCTTTCACTGACCTTCTTGACTTCTATTGTTTCTGAAAGACTTCTTGAACTTAATTGTTACTTTGGCATTGCTGCTTTCAGATTGGAAAGAACTCTCGTGGAGATGTGACTATCTTGCCAACTCTTGTGATAAACAATAGGCAGTACAGAGGTATAACTCAAAGTATTCAAGTGAGACTGTGAGAGGGTGCCTAGTCTAAATAATAGAGATTCTTGACTTTTTGTGTTATCTACCTTGTAGGCAAGTTGGACAAGGGAGCTGTTCTGAAGGCCATTTGTTCAGGTTTCGAGGAGACAACTGAGCCTGCAATTTGCTTAACCGATGGTCAGTAATCTTTGATAATTTCTTGATCTTTGACGACATCATAAATGTACCAATTGTCATTCTTGCAGACCCTGTCTATCCAATTGATCATTTTCATAAATTGGGGAATCATACTTATTTATTGTTTATATCTGAGGATCCCGAATTTTTCTGTAATTCAGACTCGAAAACCACCAACCAGTGCTGACAGATCTTGCTCTAGCTTTATCTGACATATTCGAACTTGTGATTTGTTGATACACAAAACTTACTTAGTTATTATATCAAAACAATATTTTTTGGTCAAAATAGGCTTCAGGATAGTACACAATCTCTATGATCTCCGATGTGGTGGTATTCACAAGTTCTTTTTCATTTCTCAGATATACAAACAAATGAGTGCTTAGAGTCCAATGGTGGGTGCTGGCAGGACACAGCTGCCAACATTACTGCATGCCGGGTATTCAGTCATTTGTCTGTTTACTGATATGATAGTATTATTTTGCATCTTTATGTCAAATTTAGTGCTAGCTAATTTTCCTATGACGTACATTATTATGGTCCAGGATACATTCCGTGGGAAAGTCTGTGAGTGCCCGACGGTTCAGGGAGTAAAATTTGTTGGTGATGGTTATTCTCACTGTGAAGGTACTTAAGACTCTTATGTTCAAAATTCTTTGTCACATAAAGTCTCTGCTGTGATGCATATGAGCATTTTTTCAGAGGTTTAATCTTTTGCGGTTTTTGTGTGACAGCATCTGGAGCATTACGCTGTGGATTAAACAACGGAGGTTGTTGGAAGGGAACCAAGGATGGAAGGACATATTCTGCCTGCATAGTAAGAAGGCTCCATTCAAGCATAATTACCTTCAACTTGAACTTTACTCTCCGGCGTTACCCCTTTTTTTATGGGGGTGCTTACCTCCTCCTTATCATCTGGTTTATTGAAGCAGCAGGCTGAAACATGAAATGATTTTTTTTTTTTGTGAATTGATGCTATAAAATTAGTTTTTTCTTCTTTGAATTACCCCCTCACCCTCACAGGTTCTAACTTAAGTGATTTAACTTGAGTTATTTCTCTTTGATTTACCCCATACCGTCTCAATTTAATTCAGTGAACAGGGACATTAAATGTTTTATCCCTATCTTGTCAGGATGACCACACAAAGGGTTGTAAATGTCCACCAGGGTTCAAAGGAGATGGAGTGAATCTTTGTGAAGGTATAGTGAATCTGTTACTCTATATAATTTCATTTTTCGAAATTTGCTGATGTTTTTACCATTATTATAACTCACAGTTTTCAGCTATTATAATCTTCTTTTACTCTCATCTACTTGAAGATTCAGATCTTTGTTGTCTTTGTTTGCAACAAGAAATTTTCCGTGCTCTTCTTCTTTGTAGAAACGTCATCTTATTCTCCGTTTCTCTGTCCTAGAAAAACATTATCCTGTATATATCCCCATAGAGATGTATAAATAGGAATAACCTTGCTCGTTATTTTGTATTCCCTCTGTAACATTTTATGTGTCACATTATTCTTTTAAGTTTGTCCAATAAAATGACACCTTTCTTTGTTTTGGAACTATTGGAGTTCTTTTCTTAATGACATGACCTGTTGGGACGCATTTGATATAAGAAGAGAGTGAATGAAAAGACCTGTGGAATTCTCACCTGTTTTATTTAAAAGGATTATTTTGGTGAAAAGGCATATATTGGTTTACATGTTAAAAGCTTTTGTTAATTTGTTAATTTGTTAATTTACATATCCAGTCTAACAGGAGTCCCAATATGAACAATAACTTTAATTGTACTGTTTCCTCTTTTTCAGATATTGATGAATGCAAAGAAAGGCTGGCATGCCAGTGTCCAGATTGTAAATGCAAGAATACCTGGGGTGGTTATCAATGCAGTTGCAGCGGCAATTTATTGTACATGCAAGAACATGACACGTGTATAGGTAAATTTTAAGTTCTCATACATGTTGCTAATATACGTTTAAATATGGATGAAGCTATAGTTAAATGTTTATATGATGGTTGTGATGGTCATTTAGATGCTTTTATCTATAACAGAAATTGAATTTCACGAGCTGCTTTGAGCTACTGTGATTTCAAAAAATCTGTTGTATTTTAATCTGTAAATAATTTTCAAAAGCTGCAGGCAATGATGGAAAAGCAGCATTTAGCTGGGGTCTTGTTTGGGTTATCATCTTGGGTTTGGCAGTTGCAGGAGCTGGAGCATATGCCGTGTACAAGTATAGGATCCGGGTATGTTTTTTGTTACATGTTCTTATTTTATCTTCTTTTTTTGTCACTTGTGACTTTAGGCTTTGGGTACACCACCAGAAATTGGAAATCTAGCAGTAATGTGAGTTAGGTTACCGCAGTTATTCATAACTGAACTCTTCAAAGTGTTGTGGAAAGGACATGGTCTTCCAGACAAGACATACAATTCCAGAATCACCTATGATTTGGATACTCGAATATAAACAACTTCACATCTTCTCAAAGATTCGTAATAGCTTGAAATGTGAAAATCTAATCATTCGAGTGCAGCTAATATCCCTTAATGAGTAATCTATTTTGTTTTTGCTCAAATGATGAAAGCTCTTCAGTAGGTGATGTATATGTAATCTGAATACCTTTTTATATGCAGAGATATATGGATTCAGAGATCCGTGCCATCATGGCACAGTACATGCCTTTGGATAATCAGGGAGAGGTGCCTAACCACATATCCCACGGAAATGTCTGATAATATTCCATTGATTGCGCGGAACGCCATCAGCTCTTTTTCCAGTTGTCACGAGGTTCTTTATGCTTGTGTAACTCTCACTGTTCAGCGAGGTTCTTTTTATGTATATGTTTGTCATAACAGTATACACATAAACTCCCAATTATGATAGGGGAAATTTTCCGAAACATGCACTATCTATCTTCTTTTCACTGGAACAAACTGTGTCACCACTCATAACGTTTGCAGCATGAACGCCATAGATTCCGTAAATAGTAAAATTAATTTTTATGTGCTTAACCAAACACTGATTATATGTCCAACTCATGCATTTATTGATTTGCCGTAAATCTTATTAATAATGTATAGCTGAGAAAGAAAAGTTTTCGTATTTCTTCAAGCAGATGAAAATGTGGTCAAGATGTCACAAGATCTGACCAACAAAGAAGCCCAAATCCATAACATTACTGTCTTGTCTTCGAATACACTGTTACAAATTTATACAGAGAGTAACAAACTACAGCAACACATGCTACTCCTAGTTTTAATGTTTATTATATGTACAACATATAATGAAGTAGATGCATGTCCATTTTTCGAAGAAATTTCTCAGGCGTGTTTCCTGTTAACAAAGTCGAGGAATCCCTGCCAGAAACCACCATAGTTATTGTATTACAGAATATACCAAGCCTCGAGTAAAACCAAATTTCCGGCAGAGGCAAAGCTAGTACTAAAATGAATCTAACTGAAATCGGAATAGGGAAAACATGGTGCTCTACTAGTTTGAACTTTGAGCTAACAAAATCCTAGCCAAACCACAATTCAACTAGCCCAAAACAACAAAAGGAACCTGGCAAAAAGTTATGGACAAAGAGCTGCCTCCGTAACTCTAGTTTTTTAGTTGAAAATAAGTAGATCAAATAAGCTAAACATCTTCTTTTAAAAAAATAAATCAAATAAACTAAACATCTTTTAGTACCTGAAGTATTCCAACTGCTGCAAATTTGTCTGACATGGTCTTCGACTGTGTTGGGTGTAACTTTAAATCTTGTAGTAAGAACTCCACATTCTGAGACCAAGACAATACATATAATTGTTGGTCATTTTGCATATCATTAGATAATACTAAATGATCAAAGACAACAGTTGTGGGGGTCGGGGGGTGGGGAGCAATGAGATCAATCTAACGTCAACTAATAAAAACCTAGTCGCAACCTTCCAATAACAATTATTGTGTAGTATGATCTTTGATATCAAGATATGACTAATTCGAGATACTTTTTACAAAGGTAAAAAGTTAAGAGCACATACCTTAGATGTGAAGCATTCATCCCTAAAGGTGTAGTTTACACCTCTAAGTTCCCCTGTCCGACAAAGGTCGTCAATGAATAACTTCACATGCACAGCCTGACAAAGACACAAAAATGTTCATTTCAAATGACGCTAACAAAGTAAGCTAATCCTTATCAAAGTCTAAAACATACATCTCGACTAGTTTTTTGTCTATCAAATGGATAGCCGAAAACAAAGGCCCCCAAGTTAAGTTCAGAAACCTGCACTTAAAAAGAGCAAGACAAGAATTACTTGATAGGAAAAGAGAAAAGGGATGATGAAAGTTTGCATGCAGCACCATTCATTACTATTTTCGAAAGCAAGTTTTATTTTCATCTAAAGCTGATGTATCTACCATGCATATGCAAGTAACTTAGACGCAACTGCATTTAAACTTCTTTACAGTACCGCAGTAGTAAATGTGAAGAAAAGAGAGAAACTGAATGGAAGGGAGCAGGGTTAATAAACGGTCGTCGTTTGCAAAACAAGTGTTTGAAATTAGAATCTCTCACATATAACTGCTCATGCTGAATTAGATTATAAGTAGTAAGAAGTCAAGCAACAAAACTATATAGCTACCTAAGAAACCACAATCATCGGAAATTGTGGTTAACTAGATAATGAACCTTACCAGACCCTGTAAATCTTTGGCCATCAAGTCTATATTTGTTTTCTTGCGGAGGAGAACACTGCATATACCCAACATTTAATGTCATTTCTTCTGACACAACAATGTAATAAAAATGAACATGGAGCAAATTGTTTCAACATAATCAAAATTTAAGATGTCTCAATGAAGCTACATTACGCGAGAGGTGATGCAACTTTATTTGTTGTGTCCGAAACAGCTAGACCAACGTACTTATCACCCACATCCAACCCAAGAATACGGCTACTTGCAAGTGCATTTGACTTCAGTAATTCATGAAACAAGTTGGATGGCTTCAAATACCTCATCTACAAAAGTACCAACCAATCATTTAACTTGTGAAACACTTACTCTGGATTCCAGAAAATTTGTTTCCTATTGGAGGCGCGATGCATCAACACCACAATCAATTAGCATAAGAAGATCATTACACCTTCACACTTGGGAATTTTCGTGAACTCTTGAAGGATAACATTATCAACTTACCCATAAACAGATCAACGATTCTCACAAATTTGAGATAATTTGTAAACAAAGTGAGTTTGGAATTTCACCAGTACCGATATTCATACATATCCAAAAATAAATGAAAAATCATAGGAGCACATAGCAAAAATATAAGCATTGCCACAGCCAAGAAGACAAGAATCTCATTTGCAAGAATACTAATTGACGTTAATGTTACCAAGTTCTTACCTAATAAAATTGCTTGTATTGGATCCAAATGGTAAGAAATTTCAGAAACCAGTCATCTACGATTGGGAACCTAAATTCTGCGCTACATGCTTAGTTATTGAACATAGTTGCCCTCCCAAGGAAAGGGAGGAAGCAAAGGCACCAAATGAACAACCTAAACACAGGCAGGAACCAGGGAGAGTGGTACAGGAAATGAAGACTAATGGTACAGTCTAGGTTGGTCAGTTCAAGAAGCTCTGGTAGCTCCTGCACAACAGGTTACAAGTCAGCTAGTAACACAGAGTGCTCTTCTACAGATGTTGCTTCGTCGTCAACAGAATTAGGCTGATATTGCTCAACAACAGAGTGATGGTCTTCAAATTCTACACACCAGAAGCTGTTTACATCCCTAATTTACTCAAATAAGGCGAAATGTCGTGGTGGCTAAAAAAATAATCAATTAATTCAATTAAATTAAATTTAAAATAATTTTAAGAAAAAGATTTTATGAGTCCCACCTAATTTTAGGAAAACTAGAAACCAATCAATTAATTAACAAAAAATATCTATGGAACCAATAGATTCAAGGTAAAGGCTCAAGTGATTCCGAAAGGAAGGTATTGAACACCCTTCAAAAAGGTATTGAACACCCTTCAAAATTCACAATTGTGGATTCCGGATGAATCCATTTTTTCAAATTGAGGAGATAAAAGCAATATACAAGTATAATAAACATGTGAAATATACAAATACTAAAATAAAAGAACAATTTATCAAACGATCTAAGGTTTATCTAACGTCAATTATATACACAATAATGAATATAATATCTGAACTTCATTCGTAAAGCTTCCTTGAAAAGCAACTCCAAGGTACGTGTAAATACACTTACTAAAGTGTTAGTAATGAATAAATATGAATCAATATAAATGAAATATAATAACTTAAAATAAAATTTAACATGGAACTCGTGGAAAATCTACGGTAATTTCTTCATCAATCAATTGTAACATACAAAGTATATGAACTTACACTAAACTTCCGTCATTTAAAATGAGGAGACCTTGAAAACCGACAGAGAGATAGAGATTTTTTTCATTTTTTCATTGGCCAATTTTATAATATTCAAGACAAAAATATTAAAAGCGCAAGATGATAGAACCTAAACTATTTGAAGAAAATCTCATGACAAAGCGAATAGTGAGAAATTAACTAATAAAGTAATGCAAAAGACATTGACATAAGTCAAGCAAAACTCCTAAAGTTAAAACAGTGGGGGGGAAAACTCAATAACAAAAAAAAACTGACCAAGTGATGTGTTGGAAACTTGGAATTATGCCCTCCTTAATTCTTCTAAGGAACACGTAGGAGTTACATGTTCCTTATTTCATTTGTAGTTTCAAGTTATAAATACATACGTAACATAATAGCTCAGTAATAATTAACACGATTAATTATTAGTTCACAACTTCAAACTATAAAAGATTACACACTTATGTAGCCTATGGAATTATAAACTCTAATTCTAAACTCAAAAACACAAAACCCCCATTTTCTTTCGTCAACGCCTATCTTGATCTAACACAATGGAGTAACCAAATTTGCACAATTTAGCTGATTTTTTTTAATGCAAATCAATGCTAAGCTATATCACCCCACAAACAATAATGGCCAGCAAAAATTAAAATACAATAAACAAGAACAACCCAAAAGTCCACCAATAACTCTCAACTTGGCCAATTTAATTGGAGTTGTGCCAAAGAAACACAACTCACCATTTAAACACAAAATTTAATAATAATACAGTGAAATAGATGATAATGAGAATAATACAGTAGATTATGACAACAAACACAAAACAGGGATTTATAAAACAAAAAGAGATTTAGCTTACTCTCCGTGTTGCTGAAGTTTGGAGCTTCCAGGTCGTCTATTTTCGACGTTGGTGGTTGGATCACGAGTCCGTCGGAGCTCGGAGGTTCACCTGAGACGACGTCGCCGCAGCTGGGCTTTGCCGGTTGTTTCTCACGAGTTCACTGGGGACTGTTTGGTTGCTCACCGGAGCTCGTGGCTTTGTTGTTGTTGTTGACGGTTCAATGGAGCCAAAAGCTCGCCGGAGAAAGAGGTTTCAGTAGGCTCGTTTGCTGGATAATTGGAGAAGTAGGTGTTGTGTGGGTACTCCGGTGGTGGCGGCGGCGGCGGCGGTGTTAGGTTGTGATGGAGAAGTGAAAATGAGCGCTGGGTTGTTTTCTGGTGGGTCTGGTCTCGTTGGAAAACGGGTCGGTAATTTATTTTAGATCAAATAAGGATTTAATTTATTTTTTTTAACAAAGTACTATGAATAATGATCTAATAAGATGATATAATATTTTCAACATATTCAATCAAAATTAACTCAAAAAGATTCTAATATTTTAACAAAGAAAAATAAGTATATATATATTGTTATGAAACTATATGAAATTAGAAGACGAATAAAGTATGGAGAAAGAAAAGATTTATTATTCGTCTTGAAGTATATTCATTAATCATTAATCTTTCCTAAATATTATTTATAATGAAGGAAAACCTTTTATTTATAGGAAAACCTTACTTGGTCCCAAGTAGGATTCGTAACCATATCCTACAAGGACTCCACATAATTAGACATTCACTAACACTCCCCTTTGAATGTCGTTAGATTATGTGCCTCGTTAAAATCTTATTAGATAAAACCCAGTGATAAAAAAATCTAGTAAAGGAAAAAGAGTACACAAATCTAATAATACGCATTATGGATGCCTCGTTAAAAACCTTACAAAGAAAACCCAGTGGGACAAAAACTTGTGAGGAAAAAAGAGTACAATGCGTATTAACTCCCCCTAATGACAACATCAATTCAGAGACTGAAATCTTCATTTTCCAAGCTTGTGCATCATCTTCTTGAAAGTTATAGTTGGTAGGGACATATGGTGAATAAATCAAGGGAAAAAGGTTAAAAATGCCCTCAACGTATTTCAAATGGTTCAAAAATGCCCTCCTTCCATCTATTAGTTTAAAAATGCCCTTAACGTTTTTTTAAGATTTAAAATTGCCCTTTTTTAACAGCCTGCTGACATGGCAAAAGTGACATGGATTTTCATTAAACATTTCAAAATTTATGACCCACTGGTCTTAAAACCAATTTCTAAGTGCAAATCCAATTGTGGCAATCCCTGTACGGTTGAAATGAACTTGGCCAAATGGAAAAACTTGCAGGTGTAACACAAGGTAGTACTCTAAATTCTTTTTTGGATTACTCAAGGAAACTGAATCTACAGGCACATGATTTTGGCTAAAATATAATAGCATAGACTTCTGAAGTGACTCATAAATGCTTGTGTTTGTCAAGTCGGAAAAGGAAGGTGCTAAGAATTTGATCAAAACTGCATTGTGTTTTAAGGCAATTATCTTGTGGAATTGAATATCCAAAGTTCGTTTGGGAATTGCCACAGTAGTCTTCTGATCCTTCTTCATAACAAACTGGATTATGCATAAGTCTGCCAAGTGAACAAGTAGAAAACTGAGATTGTTAAACGACTAAATTGTATTCAGAAGAATCAATTGTCCTAACATGAATGATCCAGCATTTCTTTCTCATTGCTAAAGTGGAGAAAAAGTGACTCGAGGACTTACAGTATTTGAAAAGAAAATCCAGGTCTTACTATATATGAATCGATGGAATTGTTCTGCAAATCAATCAGTTTTAGTTGACCGCTATAGTTGGATGTAATATTCAGGGTTCCATTGATCTTGTTTCCCCTCAAGTTGCTGTCATAATAACCACCTCATTGTCGTAAAATTGAAATACAAAACATAGAATCATATACTAGGTCACTTTGTACTACCTCAAACTTCGTTACAAGTCTAGCACGCAGCAAAAAATGAGAATAGTTGCATGACATGCACTGTGGCCTAAAAGTAAAAGAACACTCACACAGTCTGTAACTGAAAAAGACTGAAGAGGGTTGGCAGAATTTCTCCTTGAAGTTGAGTGTTCTCCATTACCCTATGAGCAGAACAAATACAGGTGAGGTGCATAACAAACTCTATGAAACACTTCATCCGATAACATGTACGCTTAGATGCATGTGAGTTCTGCTGAGTCACTTGAACTCAGGGACAGATACACACATGCATGTGTTAAGAGATAAAGCGAAAGCAAGAGAGAGATGGATACAAAGTCGTCAATGACTGCAAAGATGAAAACCACTGTGGAAAATCAGCTGAGCTGAATGTATTATTGCTCATATCTCTGCAAAACATGACCATTGGACACAAAATCAAATTAAAGTAATCTAAAGACATAATCTGTGATATCACAACATCAAGATTGATGCATTATCTTAGCAGAATAGAGTTCCAATCAGAACATCAGTATGTCAAGGAACTTACAAGTAGTTGAGGGCATTCATGCCAGCGAGATTAGGCAAAGGGCCAGTGAATTTATTGTTTGATAAGAAGCTGCAAGTGATATAGAAAATTTATAGATGGTCTGATAAACTCATAAAAAAAAAAGAGATCATATCAAGGTAATATTAACATTATGCTTGTCTACTCACAGTTCACTCATAAGTGTGAGACTTTTGAGGGTTGATGGAATTGTTCCGTCTAAAGAATTCCTGTCAAGACGACTACAGTATACATGAATATTTAGTTAGTAAAAACAGGTAATCAAAAGCAAGAAAAACGGCACATTTATTAGAGTTCCTTAAGAACATGATGGATTTTGGAAATACTTACACCACCTCCAGAGTCTGCACTAGTCCTAATGAAGAGGGTATTTTTCCAGTATACTACTTATTTCGCGAAATACATCCCTTATTCATAGCTTCTTTTAATTAATCAGCTTCTTTTAATTAATCTGCTTCTGTTTTTCATTATAGAAATTTAACTCGATAAAATTGCTGCACATTTCTTATCAAGTTATTCATGTCTTTCTCATTAGTTTGGAGTGGTATTCTGTTTCTTTCTTCTGCAACTTCCAACCATAAAACATAATACTACTAAAATAAACTTTTGACAAGTGAAACAAATCAACAATACACATAGCTAAACCATATTGATATTAGAAAGGTAACACTTTGGAGTCGATTGTTGTCTTAACAACCATTAATAATACAAAAATCAGCAAAAACACAAGTTGCTTGGAGTCATACTGTAGTTGTCTAACAACCATTAAGAGTACAAAAATCAGCAAAAACACTAGTTGTTTGGAGTCATTGTTTCATTCTCTCCTTACATAACACTTAATGACACTAAATACAAAACAAATTCTACATCCCCTTGCCCCCTATAGGCTTAAGTTTGCCAATTTTTCTCTCCCTTGTAGCTTGTAACTGGTTTGAAGTCATTGCTTCTTTCCCTTTCCAAGTTACTTTTTTTGGTGAATATGGAAGGTTGGTCGGCATTGATATACCATTGTAATCTCCCTGGAAAGTTATCTTTCTCGTCCCAATATTTATTTTCTTCAGTCTCTCATGAAGTCTAAAATTACTTTCAGACACCACTTTAGGATATATAGTAGGATCTGAATCATGCTCTGCTACAATAGAGCTCTGGCTAGAGATCTGACTTAAACCATGAACAGGAATGAAGAAACATGCACTTTCTTGAGTGTTATCTGATTCTATCAAGGGTACATTATGAGATTCTTGAGAGCTTTCTCAATCTTGGAAGACGTCCTCGTACTTATCATTGAGCTGCATGAAGAAAAAATAAATTAGATGATGATCGTTAGATACAAAATGGGAACACCATTTATGAAGTTAAATATTGTTACCAATGGACATTTTCTTCTGTTATGATTTGGTTCACCACAATAACCACAAGTCATTAACATTCCTTTTCTAGAAGCTGACCAAGCCCCCTGCCTATTCTTAGCCTCATCCTTCTCTCTTGTTCTCTTCATCTGTGGTCTACCAGCCATCTTAGCTAAAGTAGGAGGCTCCATGGCATGGTGCGGCTCAATCTTCCAAAAGTTTTCACCTCTAACTGGTTCGATCTTGTGCTTATATACCTTCAAATACGCTTCCTTAGAGTACCACCAGTGTATTTCAACAATAGGGTCAACTTTTTTATGGATAAATGCTTTGATGGCATGAGGACATGGTATTCCAGATAAGTCACATACTCTGCATGAGCATCTTTTAAGTTCTATATTGATTGTATGCCTATCCACACCCTCGGTCACTTCATATCCACAACCTCCATTAAACTCAACCTTACATCGTTGGGCAATGACCTTGTAGTCATTAAAGAGATGCATTGCATGTGGTGAAAACTCATTCTTCCAACTTTTAACTTCAGCCTCATGCTTCCTTATGTTCATTACCTATACAAAAATAATCAAAAACAAAAAAAATGAACCAGCTAATGTTGCACGAACTGAAAAAAACATAAATTTAAAACATCTTAAAACAAAGACCTAAAATTCTGATCATTAAGCGCGATCAAATGGAATAATATTTTCATCATAAAACACTATTGGAATCAAAATGATAACACTTATAAGTTTTAACACTTGTTATTACTCAAGTTGAAAACTTTTCAGTAGCTTAAAACATTTTTTCCAACTTATTCCAGTAGCTTAGCACACAATCTAAACAATTAGCACTTGTTCATATCAACTATATTGAATTTAAAAAAGCAAGATTTTCTAACCTTCACCCTTATTTCTTCCAGCATCTTTATGATTGGCTTTTGTCTGGCCTCTACAATCCATGAGTTGAAGGACTCCGTGAAGTTGTTGTCAATCATGAAATTTTTGCATTTGGTGTCAAAATATGCTCTACACCATTTTTCTGGTGGATAGCTCACCAAGGCCTTAGCAGCCTTCTTATTCAACTCACCCATTTTTGTAAGTTGATCTTTGAACTCCTCCTCATATGTACTCCAAGCACACCACCAAAGAAGCTTTTTCAACTCTGCGCTTCTGTAATTTTTGCTCCAATTAGCTTCAATATGCCGAACACACCATCTGTGATTTGCTTTTGGGCATACATTAGTAACAGCATTCAATAAGCCCTTCAAAAACATAAATTCATATTAGTTGCAGAATAATGTAGATGAAAAATAACTAAGAAAAGAAGAAATAAACTTAAAGTAAAGATACCTTTTGCATATCTGATATAAAAGTGACATTTTCACCCAACTTTAAGTCCAAAGAATGTTTCAGCAGCTCCAGAAACCAGTTCCAAGTTCTTTTAGTTTCTTTATCTACAACGTCCCAAGCAAGTGGATAGAAATGGTTACTCGAATCTTGTCCCACTGCGACCAACATTATTCCCTTACTTTTTCCTTTTAAAAAGGTGCCATCTAGCCCTATAAAAGGTCGCAAACCTCCTTTCCAGCCTTCCTTTAATGCCTGAAAGCATATATATAACCGTAAAAATCTTCTTTTCCCTTCTTCCATAGCATCTCTTGACAAATTGATCACTACATCAGTTCCTGGATTAATCATCCTCAATTCAATTGCGTATGCCTCTAACTTATTATAATCATCAGCGTAACTACCATCTAATTTGTCCAAGACAAGCCTCTTAACTCTCTTCAATTTTGACTCATTCACTTCAAGATCCAAAACAGATTCCAAGTGCTCCTTCATGTCTTTAATCTTAAACGTAGGGTTATTCTGAACTTTCTTCTTAAAATATTGAGATAAAATCCCAGCTTTGGCTCTCCTGTTCTCAGAAGTCTCATAACATGTGTGTTCCTGATTCAAGGTCTTGATCTTAAAACCTTGATCTCTCCCATCCTTGTAAATCGAGCATCGAAAGGGACAATCAAGAACACAACAATAAGTAACTCTACCTTTGTTGCTTTTCTTTACTCTAATATCCCTCTTATTTGCAACAGCATAAAAGTCAATAACTTGTTTAGCTTCTTTGAGATTGCTAAAGGTCATACCATACTCCAAATCCTTGTACTTGTCTAACGTTTCATTGATATCAAGTTGTTTTTGCTTTTTATAAATCTCCAGCTCTTCACTATCATATTCGCTAGACATAGTTTCACCATTTTCCTCTTCCTCACTACTATCACAATCTGTTCCAACTTCTATAACATTGTCACTTTTATGGTAACAACTAATGTTGGAACTAACCCAAGCTCCTCTTCAGAGTTATCTACCGCAAAAAAGTTCACTACCTTGAAATTGTCAGATAGTATATTTTGAAGAATTATAATGCCTTCATCCCCCTCGATCACATAAAAACCACCAGATGGGGCTGTAAATAGAAGCTGTCGTACTTCACTAAAAGCTAATTTTTCTTTAAATTCTCGACATACATCAATGTAAGACAGCAAGTCAACTTCGTAAGCTCTCCAAACGCGAAACAATTTTTTATGGTATACCAATTGTGGTTTTCGAAACCATTGTCCCCCATAATTAAAAATCAGATCAACATTTTCAATCATTCTTGAATCGAACCAATATGCAACACAACAAAAAAGAAGAGACCACATCAGATAATACCAAATGTGATAAAATATAATATGTATAATAAAGCATATAATAAAAAAAAGACATGGACCCCCACTAGCAGTAAAAAACTCTACATTAATGAAGACAAAGACAAATAAAAGAAAATGGACATGGACCACTACAACTAACACAATACAAAGAAAGAATAAAAAGATTCAAAATACATGATTTTTTAATAGATACTCAAATACTCTATAATCTAAAAAAAATAAAACATTACCTTAGTTGCAGGGTAATGAAATCAACTGAGTGAAAACTTGAAGTAACAAAACAACATAACTAGAAGGTGTTGTGATTTTCAACCTTAAACCTCCATCCTCGGCAACTGCTACAAAAAGAAAGGCTGAGAATCGTGTGCAAAAATGGAGTTCAAGGATATGTTAAGTTAAAAGGTAAACGGGTTAGTGGGTGGGTTTGAGTTTTTACATAGATGGGTCGGGTCGTTGGGCTGGATTATGAAAATTTAGGTGGACCAATAAGATGAAGTCATTTGTCTAATTTAATGATTCATCATTTGCCATGTCAGTTAAAAAAGGGCAATTTTAAACCTTAAAAAAACGTTAAGGGCATTTTTAAACTAATAGATGGAAGGAGGGCATTTTTGAACCATTTGGAATACGTTGAGGGTATTTTTAACCTTTCTCCGATAAATCAATTATAGTATTACTTGAACAGACCTCTTGCATGTTGATATGACCATTCTTGAGAGCTCATTAGTGTAGAAAAACCTTTTTTTAATATGATTTCTTCTATGTGCTTTTATGAATCTTCCCTTCAAGATCAAATATTTCTGCAAGTTCCTTACTTTAACTTCCTTAAGCGAACAATCTATTGTCTTTTGAAAACTCTTCAAGAGTTTCAGTTCAATTTTTTTTTTTAATGAAGAATGAATAAAATTTAAAAGTTATGAATTTTTAAAATGTGAATGTCTATAATCAGTGGTTGAGTCAAAAAATTAAAAAGGGATTCAAAATATTAAAAAAATAGACACATGAAGTAGCCGAAGAGGGTTTGATATCTATTATATATATCTAAAAAAATTATTTTAACCAAGTAAAAATAATATAATTTTTCACCGAAAAAAACCCCCTTAAATCTTGTCTATACAAAATAGGCCTTGCAATTTTTCATACTCACTCTTTATTTGGTACACCTTTTGTCCAACTATAGGTTCGTGTGGAGATTTGAGTCATTGGACTCGAAGAGACTTGCCAGATAAATTCTACTTTCTATTGTATGTTAACTTTCTTTTTCTTTTTTCTATATAATTTCTAGTACTCAAACTTATATTTCGTACGGACTCACTCTTGTATTTGTTACCATTTATATGAAATTATTATAAAGTTTTTTCACAAGTCGATACACTTGACTAGTCATCTAGTTTCTTCTTTAGAAAAGATTGTAAATTCAACTAGAATAATATTTAACTTTTGATTTCCCCTCACCTTGTTTTTACCATTTAAGTGGAAAAAATCAATATCTAAAAATTAATGAAAAATATAAGACTGAAAATGTTCAATAAGCTATTAGCAATAATGAAAAAACAATATATTTATGAAAATATACAAAAAGAAAAGATTAAATAGGATCTTCATTTCATACTATAAAGTTGGAGTCTTACAACATATATATTGTAACTTCACCAATTGCAATCCATCAGAACTTGTGCTGACTTGACTAAGGACAAACTAGGGTTTGAACATAGAAATCAGCAAGAAGATCATAATCAAATGTTTTCAGATCTAAATATCTTATTGAATTATCACTTGGCTCGTACATCATGTGATATGGTCTAGACATAATGAAAAATTCACCTCTTTTTGTCAGATAAAAGGACTGAGCTAGAAAATACTCAGCACGGTCTAGACTACAGATGATCGTAAACGTCTTCGTCCAAGATTCTTTGTTCTCGTACTCCTTCATCGCCCACACATCAACGTTACTTGTGCGACTACAAATCATGATAGACAAGTTACTTTCCAACGCTCCCAACACGAAAATATCATTTCCACAAGGTGGCTCCTCCACCATTCTCCATTTCTCATCGTTCAAGTCAAAAGATGTTATGCTCCAAACAACATCATCAACAACACTAGCCCAATAAAGCTTTCCGTTCAGAAACTTACCTGTATTTATGAATCGCCCTCCGTTTGGAGGATGGTTAATTCTTCTCCAGCAATCGCTCTTCAGGCTATATATAGCGACCTCATGGAAATTATACAACACCACCTTATAATCATCACGGAGTTTATCGTATCCAAAACCATATATGAAACGACCGAAATGCCATGATTCAAATTTATAATCACGCAATTTCTTGTACTTTCTAATGGTTGGGTTCCATATATATATTTTCTTTGCCCTATTTACAAGACAAATCAATCCGTTCACTGAACCCTCAAACAAAAAAGATACCTCAAGGTTTTTCATGAGATAATCCAAGTTAGATTCCTGTATGTTGTTACTAGCTGATAAACTCAGATGAGAGTTGATAAACTCGGGGCTAGAGATCAAAGCAAGCCAAGATTTAGAAACACACCTAAATTTCAACAGAGATTTCACCGGAACCCTCGAAAGGATCTCAACAAGAATTTCAGTGGGCATACAACGGTTTGCGGGGTTGATAAGATCTCGATTTTGATGGGACGACGCTGAATTTTCTCCATTGAATTTTCTTCCAAACAACCTTAAACTCTTAATTTGGAAAAATGTTAGAGCTAGTAAATAAAGAAAGCAAATAAACATTTTTCTATTTTTTTTATTTTTATTTTTTATAAACTGGAGTGAGAATGAGAAGAAGATCAATCCTACATTTATAATATCAGTTACATAAGGGTAAATGCGTCATTTGAAGTGAAGAGAAGTGAACATGAAGATACGTCTCTCGCTAGCATTAAAATTACTGTGCACATGTGTCACTGGTATACGGTAAATTAATGAGTTATTTACGTTAAGCACTAAATTTATGTTTACAATTTACACCCTTTTCTTCTAATGTTTTTCACTTTAATTTAGTCATCTCCTTGCAATTTTTTTTTTTTTTTTTTGAATTGAAGTGAGAATGAGAAGACGATCATTTCAAGATTTATAATATAAGTTACACAAGGGTAAATGTGTCATTTGAAGTGAAAATGAAGATACGTCTTTTGCTAGCATTAAAATTAATGTGAACATGTGTCATTGATATACGGTAAATTAATGAGATATTTACATTAAGCACCCTAAAATTCTTTTATGTTAACAATTTACACCATTTTCTTTTAATGTTTTTCACTTTAATTTAGTCATTTCCTTGCAAATATTTGAGCTGATAAAAAAATAAAAGCATATTAAAAAGAAAATGTTGGAGTTGATAAAGAAAGAAAACAAAACAAGTTTGTTTTCATTGGTGAAAGTGTAGGTCAAATATCATGAATTATAATTTATATAAAATTGACATAATTGTTGACAAATAAACACATGTAAAGTTTAAGTTTAAGCCAAGCTAATGGTACAATTATAAAACTAAAGCACTCCAATTTTCCCTTATCGACACTATCCATGTCATGAATTTCTTTCGATAACTCTACGTATAATGTCGATTCTAAATTATTTGTTTGATTTGATATTGAATGACCTTTCAATATAAGACGTTTTTTGCATTAAGAGTAATGATATAATTTAAATTAAATAATACAGATATAATAATAATTTATATTTTTAAAAGCGAGATAAAAATATCAGTTATTATATATGGATCAATTATGTAAAAGGCTAATAAAGGCAAAATATTCAATATTAAAACTTAAAATGTCATGTAAATTGGGGGTAATTGAAATGTACAACCAATCATGTAATACTAGGAAACTATTTTGACTCGAGCTCAAAAATTGAAGACTTGCCTATTATTACTAGTGTTATATAATATGAGTTTAAGATTTATACAATGTCATTATAAATTATTTTTTACACCATCAAGTTATTAAAAACAATTATGAGTAAATATTCTTAAAATATTAAAATTTTACTAAGATACATTACATGAACTACATTAATGCCAATCAAGACTTTTTTCTTTATTTTGTCCAAAGAACAAGACAAAAAAAAAAGACTTTGATTTTGTAAGCCCAAGAACAGACAAATCACAAGAAACAAGAAAAAAACTGTAATGTAAATGCAAAAACAAGAAAGTTGACTAGTACTTCAAGCCAAAAATTATAACCAAACACATTTTAAAACTTCACCCAATTTTTCACTACTCACAATATTTTTAGAGTTGTGTTTTTGGAAGGTAAAAATTGGCAGTAAAACAAGGATTACTTTTCTTTCCCATTTGTACACTAAAACAGAAGGTTTCCAATAGTATTCTCAATGGGGGTCTTCAATGTTACTCCTGCAAATACTAGGTTCTAATACATATAGATACAAAAAGTTTCAGTTGTAACAAAATTGTATCCTGAAGCAAACCTATGCGCGGCTCATGTATTGTCCATTTCTAGTATCAACCATAATTTCCTCTCCTCTATTTATGAATAATGGAACGCTTACAATTGCACCGGTATCGAGGGTTGCTGGCTTTGATCCACCTGCCACAAAATACAGATCATATTGACAACCAGCTATGTATATTTGGCATCATAGTGTAGCTATATGTTAGGAAGAAGAGTGTCAAGAATATCAACGGTTGACACTGAGACGAACCAAAAGACATGGATGATATATAATGTTATATCCCTATTAGAATCGAATCATAGGAACATAAGATCTAGTTCAAAGGCGTGAAGCATTTATGCCTCTGAAATCTCCTTCTAGGACTTCCAGTTCAATGGTTCAAGCTAGTAAACAGTAAATGATTACCTTGGGCAGTGTCACCTTTGACGCCTGGATCAACGTCCACCACTGTCAACTTTACTGTTATAGGCAATTCAAAGTCGATCACCTACAGAAATAATAACCTTAGTTTACTGATTACGATAACAACAATATATGAAAGAGATTGCTTCTACAAGAAAAACTACAGGATCAATGTGAGAGACTGAGATTCCCAATTGACACTTATAAAGTAGAAAAACAGAAACTGCAAACACTTGAAATAAGTTCAGCATTGGAAAATACCTTCCCGTTCCAGAAAAGCAAACTGCAGTCCATGCCCTCTTTTAGAAACTTTGCTTTATCTCCAACTTCTTTTTCATTTAGACGATATTCTTCATAAGAGGTCTGCAACGAAATTTCCCCAAAGTTACCATAGAATATACAGTGAGTATATAATGGGGGATCAGAAAACAACCAAATTCTAGGTCATCCTTCGAAAAAGTGGGCAAGGACAAGGAGAATTGGAGGGAACTTGATCCACATACCACACGAGCAATGTAACCAATTAAGATATTAGAGAGCCACATTAAACTTTTTCTTTTGTATTTTTATAGGTATTTTGCCTATATGCACCAAGAAGGTACATATATTTACAGAAAAAGACTTTCACGTCCCTTTAACCATGAAGGGAGACCACCAAGTTAACAGAAGTATTTAAATCATTTTCCTGTTTCAGATCACACCAAGCATACAAAAGAGTAAAACCTAAATTCTGTGAAATGCAAAGCTATGCCTCTATTCTTATGAAGCATTTTAACCTGTCAGACTAGCATAGCTCAATCGGGATAAGAAAGGGCAGAGCCGACAACTTAAGGGACTTATGAGGTGCAACTATAGATCAGATATTTAGAACTTCACCAAGACCAAATAAATTAGCCGAACCTTGATGCCCACACTTGTATATGCTACAGCACTACAGTTAGGTATAATCCCTCAAGTAACCAAGTCCATGGACTAGAAGATAATTGCTGCCAGGTTTATGCTAGTTCCTTTTCTTTTTTTCTTTTGGAAGGAAGGAGGGAGAAAGATAGCAGAGTGTCACTTCAAAAGATTGGGATATCGGATCTCTATAAAAGTAACTTGCATAAGCATGCGCACTCTATTAAAAGTTACTGTACTTTACCAGATCCATGAAGACATACTGGGCACCATCCTTGTAGGTGAATTGCTTCGTCTCCTTGTAGATATTTGCCTCTTCTATCTGCAGGGATATTTGAATGTCAACTGAAATTTAAATAGCAATGACAACTTGGTTGAGAAAAAGAACTGACGTCAAAATTGCAGGTCCATTATCAATGTAATAGATCAGTCTTTCAGTAGATTGTAATGTATTTTATGTTCTAAAACAGGAAGGAAAGGAACTTCCACACTGCCTTCGACAGACTTTCTATTGCCTGGTAAAAGTCGAACAACAAAATTAGTTATGGCATTCCTATAAAAAGGAGCTTGCACCACAGAGTTAAGAATTCCTGCCTTTATTTTCTGAAGTATGGTTGTATAATTCATGATTTAATGCTACCATTACTTCAGTCAACAAAAAAGAGATGAGAATATTAAGCCAGATACACAATGTAAATATAACAATTATTTGAGTTGTATAAATGAAGTTTGAGGTTGTACATCCTTGCTTTATATCTTTCATTCTCAATCCTAGAGTTTGTAGTAATCCCCACATTGAGAAAAGGTAAATGACACTTTCCATTATGTCATAATTTGATTTCCACCTTGTAGGGCGGAAAGCAAACTAATAAACTCTCATGAATCATGATACATATCTTACTTCAGCACCATTCTATAATTTTGCATAACCCGACTGTGGGTCTTATGTGATCCACTTCTTTCATTCTATAGCATCTGATGCCCCTTGACAACAAAAGCAGGGGATTCATTTAATATTATTTCTTTAGTCAATTCATAATGTGCATTATTTTTTCTTCTCAGATTAACTAATATATCTCCAACTAAATGAGCTCGTACTCGGACGAGAGACTACATGATGAGCATGATTTTTCCCACCATCCAGGAAAAAGCTATATGCTAGACTACAGCAGCTGTATTACTTTGTCAACGTTCCTCTAGTAACCTGCATCAGCGCCAGAAATACTTATTTTCTCCTTCTCAAAGAGCCCTATTATCACCAACTTCATCACGACATTTAAAACCCAGTTTGTCCCTGCTCATGCTACCATCAGCATCATCATGAACACAAGCCAATGCCATTTGTTCACCAAAAGCTCCAGAACATCTCAATGACTGGTCAACTGGTTGTATATACAAGTTGTGTTTCTTATATACACCAAAAGTGAAAGCCTTAAAAGTAATATTCAGTATTCACAAACACAGTAGTCTCAACACAGCATCTTCGCAGATTGGTCAGATACCACTACCATCAGCCATGCCGTCAACATGAAACTTCCATCAATTCAAAATCCATCAACTTCCAACCATTGTACATACAGAATCTTCTCAAACATTTTCGTTCTCTCTGGTATGATATCTAATCAAGAAATTTTGAGTGTAGAAACAAAAAGCATGACATGTATTTTGAGTTTTTGACATCTAATCTATCAAGCAGACACCCTTCGAGAGATCAATGGTCCAACTCTTCACCACCAACTTCCAAAGATACTCAACTAAATAAGAACATCAATGAATCTTTTTTTTTGAATACCTACTTCCATAGTGGCTGGAAGTCCTTTCATCTTTCATTTGTATTAAAAGTTACTTCTACAATTTCAGGTGTGACTACAATGATAATAAAAGGAAAATATAAAGTTTGACACTTTTCTTAAGGAATTCTCAGAAGAGTTAATACAAACAGGTTGCTAAGTATAACTGGATGGAACAATTTGTGGAGTTAAGCTAATATCTAGCCATAAGATGGCAATTCATCTGTTGCATCACTAAAGCTCAGAGATGGAACTGCAACCCCTAACAAAAACTTTACCAAGATCAGCAAACACTCAAAAGAAAACTCTTTATCACTTATAGAAGGTTTACTGGATAATTTCCGCAATCATCTTAACACTCAAAAGAAGACTCAAACTAAAGTGATTTTCAAAAGGTTACCAACTATTTCATTTCAAAATATATGGCCCATTCATAGTTTCTCAGTTTGTTTGAAGGTACTTGACAACTTCAATTGGTTGATTACAAAAGAATGGCTCGTGCTACATAACAAGTTCTTGTTGTAGATGACATGAATGTGACATTGTGGTGTGACCTTGGCAATAAAATCCACTGGAGCATATAAATATATAGAGTAAGAGAAAAAAGCATAGTGGTTCCACAGATATTACCTTACTTCCAGCTCGGAAAGTTTTCTCAACGCTATTCCCTGTTACATAGTTGCGCAGCGTGGTCCTCACGAATGCAGCCCCTTTCCCAGGCTTTACATGAAGAAACTCTAAACACACCCAAATGATAAGTATTATCAAACAGTAAAAAGAGTCAACCAAATTTTAGGTGTACTCAATACCAAACTATTCATATATATATGTATTTGTATTCAAAAAATCATCTGTTTTTGACTTCTGCTTTATGGACTTCAAGTAAGATAACAGTCTATTGTACAACGATACATAAGTGTGAGCTTATCACAGTCCCAGAACATTGTCTTGGTAACCTATATAGAAATCTAAACAGCAAAACAAACAGTTTATAACAGTTAGCATACCCTAGAGTGTGAGTGGACCAACAATGCTCTAAGTAAATTTAGCATAATCCAACCCTTCGGCGTGGTCCAGTGGTTTGGGCTTGGGACTTCCATGTTGGAGGTCTCAAGTTCGAAACCCCTTGTGAACGAAAGCATCTTCTTGGTCGAGCTTGTCGCACCGGGACTACCTAGTGCAGGTTACCTCTCCTATGTGGTTTGCGAGCTACTCCATAGGAGCGGGGGTTTTACCCTGTGCGCACCCAAAGGGTAGAGACTGCAGGTTTCCCTTGTCATCATATTATTTTTTAGCATAATACATTCATCCGTTCCTTCATTGTAATCATGAAACCTTACACTTCACTCGGAATCCTCTAGTCTTGCTCTACTAGTTTGTGTATTTTCAGCAGTAATTATCATGTTATCTGGGTCAATAGGATAAATTCTGGTTGTTAATTGCACATGGCTATAAAATTTTCAACATAACAAACTTTAGCAACTTCCATAATTGTAAAGAGTATTGCAAACTTCACTTCTTTAAAGACTAATTACTTGACTTTCTAAAGCCCGAATGTTCACAACCTACTTAATAGAGCTAATTCACGACCCCTTTCCTTTACTTGTAAAAAATCAAACAGACATTTCGCATAACCAAACAATAAAAAAGCTAAAATCACAAACAATGCACTATGAGGAGGGGAATCTTAGTAGTACAGTTGGTTTGGCTACCAGAATTTTCACCCCTATCCCTCAATTTTCAGGCAGAAAAAACTATAATCATCATGTTGGGTTATTAACGAAGATAATAAAGAAATGGGGAGTGGTCATTTAATCACCTATAACCTTGCAAGGAGATCCATCCACTTCAATGTTGCTGCCCACTTTAATATCATTGCTGGAAAACGCGAATATCTCTGAAAAAAAATGAAAACTTTAAAACACCCACAAAAAGTTTTTGAGTAGAAAAACACAAGAACATTGCCATAGTCAACTAAATAATACTACTCCGACGGAGTAAGAATTAGGAGAAGCTAAACGTTACTTACTTGGGAAGCAGTGGGATGTTCTGCGGAAAATGGAGGTAGAAACAAGAAATGGGTTTGATGAAAGAGAGGAGAGTGAACACGAATTGGGAAACAGAGATAGCTTGAGATTAGTGAGTCCCGCCATTGTTGCTCTGCAAATGGACTATAACATTCCTGTCTGTCTATAGATAAGTAAATTATATCTATTACTTCTTCGACATTCACTCAATTGGAAAATACAACTCGGCCCCAATTATTAATTTATTTGTTATAGTTAAAATATTATTTTATTCGGTTAAGTAATTTTAAATACTCTCTCAATTTCGTAATACGAGAAAAATATATTTTTAAATTCTCGTCAAATATTATAAAATTAAGGGTATAATTAAATTTAATTGAATTAGTACATAAATATTTTTAAGATAGTTTGGAGACGAATCTAATGGCTTACCGTAAGCTTATTGAAAACTAGAAAAATATGCCGTTTAAAAATATTTAATTTAGCTCCTACAGTTTTGAAAATATATAAAATAATCCCCATCTTTTAAGTCTTAAAATAGTTGCACCTTAATTATATTGGGACTAGGGAATTTGATCGCACTGTCTTTAAAATAATAGTAAATGATTACTTTTTTTCAATCAATTATATAGCTTTCTTTATTTTCAAACGTAATATTATCATTTTATTTTTTTATTTATACATTAATTATGAAGATTGTTTTGAGATGACGATTGAAATGAAACTTAACAAATTTAATATCTATAATCTATTAAATGAGGGATAGTATATTATTAATCAATATGTCAATATATATTTTCTTAGTAATTTTTTTGTTTGGACAGATAGTTAATATGTCATTTTCTACATTTTATTGGAATATCAATGAGTTTGAATCTTTATATTATAACAAATACTCTGATGTATTTTTTTTCTTGAGTATAATACATTAACATTTGCCTCAAAATAGTTGACTAACAATACACATTTATATAGATATTTATGAAGAAACAAAAAAAATTATCATAAGTTTACACATTTAAAATTTGAGAGTTGTGAGGAGTTATAAAGATTATGGAAATATAAATTTAGAGCCTAAGATTTTGTGGTCAAGAATTGATCTCTTGAACATGACTAACTAAAAAGCAATAAAAAATCAATATACATAATTCATAAGATTTTCCTCTATCATGAGTACATCAAATATGAATTAGAATACAATAACATTTGCTTAAAAAAGGATTGTCTTACGATACACATTTATTTAAATATTCATTGAGAAACACAATAAATTGTCATAAGTTTACACATTTAAAATTTGAGAATTATGAGGAGTTATAGAGATTATAGAAATATAAGTTATGAAGATAAAGAGATACATATTTCTTAGTTTAAGAAGGGAAAATTAATGAGATTAATTTTAGGAAATGCTAAATTCAAAGTTCCAATTATGTTTGTAAGATTAGTTTCTCCCTTATATATTTCATAGGATAAAATGAAAAGGTGGTAAGAAACTTAAAATGTTATTAATAACAAATTACAATAAAAAAGTTCTCAATCGAAATTAATTTTATTAGTCATAAATTTACATATATTCTCATACGGTTTTATTACTAACTTAAAAATTACAAACTTTATATGTTTAATTAAAACAACAACAACGTAGTGTATTCTTACAAAGTGATACCGGATGTGCTCAATTAGAATATATCATTAAACATATTCAATACTAAAAAAAATATTTATTCACTTATTTTGTGATTGATTACTAATATAATAGACCATATCATATATTTTTAGGGATAAAAATATTCAGTAGATATTAAAAAAGTGTACCATAGATAATATACCTTTAATTCAACCATGGAAAAATCTAAAATATTAATTAGATAGAAATATATATATATAAGCTAAAAAGGGGTAAAAAAATTACTAATAAAATATGTTCAGGGGGGTAATAGGACCTTAGTATAGTATAAGTGTGTCTCTGAGATTTAGGGCATAGGTTGAGGGGGTACTTGGGCATTATCCCTCAATAACAATAACAATGAATGAAATAATCATTTTTTGTTCAAAATGAAGAAATAAAATAAAACAGAACAAAATAATATTAGTTGAAATCAAAATAGTACAACAATGAATCTTCAAAATGTTTGAAAATCAATCAAACTTTTATACTACTACAACTCTCTATGCATGAATCTCCAAGATAATTAATTTTCTTTCTTCATTTTGTTGAACTTGTACCAAATAATTTGATGAATCTTTCAAGAATATATCAATGATCTTCATCAAAGTAAAGATCATATCATGACATCATTTTTTCTATGTCTTCTTTTTTGATTACTTAACTACATGATTGATGAAGAAAAAGATGAAGAAAATAAAATTAAAAGATTATAATACTAAAAAGAAAGAATGAAAAAATGGAAATGAACCTGCAACATCTTCATAGATGATTGGTATTTATAGAAAAAATAAGTCATAAAAATGGTTAAAAGGAAATCGAAAAGACATGTTATTTAAATAGAGAATGTCAATAGATGGAGGTTTTTTGTAACTCATTTCATATGATTACAATATTAAATATGATTGAATTTTATAATTAATAAAAAAATATTTTATGAAAAGAATAAAAAAAGACAAAAAAAAAAGAAGAAACAAATGGAGGCCATATAGAGGTGCCACATCAGCGGTTTTGGATTCAGATATATATATATATATATATTGATTTGGGGATGTTTTAGTAGGCGTTTGATCATGCGATATTATATTACGATACAATATTGTGAAATGGAATTAGTGTTTAAACATTCAATTTCACGCTGATTTTATCTCATGATTCCATATAATGAGATGTGATTTCATATTCTCAAAAATACATGATATGAAATTACATGGTTATTTCATATCATGATTTGAGATATTTTAATACAAAACTTGATCCACAAGTTTATTTGTTAAAACAATCCCACATTAATATCTTCTAACAATTTATTTCATTTGTAAATAAAATTTATAATCACATCATTACTTTTTAAAATTTATTATTCTCACCGACGGTACAATTTATTATTTTCACCAACATATAGTCATTTTAACTCACACCAACCGACTGTTAAAGTGATGAAATATTTATGGTCTATAAACATAAAAATATAGTTGCGGATGATATGGATCAACATATGGTTCAAAGTAACAATGTTGGTTCGTCTTCTCAGTCAAATGATCGAGAAGTGCAAGTTCAACTTGAGAAAATTATCCGTACTGTGTGTGAGGATTATATTAAAAACTAGTAAACTACAATTTAGTTCAAATTTTTGTATTAAATTAAAGCTAGATGAAACAATTACTTAAGTGGAGGATAAATACCTTTTGTAATAATTTACTATGCGATTTTATAATTTTTTATTTGATAACATTGAATAAACAATTGGGGCTATTTTAATAATTTTACAATTTATAAGTTTTTTATTTTTATGAGAAAATACACAACAAAAAAATTTCATATCGCATATTTAAGCAAAACTTCATTTTCATCTTATGATTCTATATCATGATATAATATCATGATTATCGTATGACCAAACGGGGCTTTTGTTTATTATGTCTTATAACAAAATATGTTAATAAGTATATGATGATTACTAGAAGGATGAGAGGAGATTATAAAATATTGAAATTGAAAGTCATGATATGTATAATGATTTAGTTGAAAGTGTGATAAAAAGAATTTTGATCAATATCTTATATATGTATTTTTGCAACATATTGATATGAGAAAAGTGTAATTTATGATATTTTTAATATAGTATTTTGAATAGAGTAAATTTTAGGTTTAACAAACATAAAGAGGGAATCATACTTATATATTATAACTATAGTTTGTATAATTACGCCCCATAACAAACTTTATGTTTGCTATAACTATTAATCTGTATATTTCGATATACATAAACATAAAAAAAATAAGTATTTGAGTTTATTTTATATTTCGGTATACAAATAGATTCTTTATTTGTATATTTCGATATATAAATGGGTGTTGCAATTGTCTATTTCGGTCTGTTTGTATATTTTTTATATACTGATGGATCATGCATTTGTATATTTCGGTATACAATGGGTTCTGCATTTGTCTATTTCAGTATATTTGTATATTTTGATATGTAGATGGGTCATGCATTTGCATATTTCGGTATACAACCTGCATTTGTATATTTCGATTTATTTGTATATTTTGGTATGCAAATGGTAACTACATATGTATATTTCGGCATTGCAAATGAGTGTATATTTTGATTTATTTGTATATTTCGGTATATAAATAGGTCCTGATTAGTATATTTTGGTATATAAATGGGATGGCAAAAACATTAAATATGTGTTGTGAATTATAAATAAAAGAAACTATAGCTATAACATTTAATTTGAAATACTAGTTTGCTATTTTATACAAATTTTTCATTTGAATATACGGATTTTAATTTTAAAATATTGAATTAATCTAATTTAATTTAGCTTTAGATTAGTCAAATTGACTCTCGAAAAAGAAAATATAATTACTATTTTGGAAAATCGAGGGTGTACACACTTAATTAATTGTTAAACAAAATCAATTATAAATTTGTCACAATCTAAGACTAACCTCTAGTTGTAATACGGTGCTTAGAATTACAACTGATTCCAAACTAACTTGTGATCTAATATAACATTAAAAATATTATTTAAAATCGAAAGGATTACAAAGTAAGCTAATATTGAATGAAATCAATAGGTCCAAAATAACCTAATAGATAAATGGAAACCATGTGAACAAGGTATATAGTTGAACTCCTATTTGACTCTGTAAAAGTGTCTAATGAGACGAATTATTCGAACAAGCTACTAACTAATTTTAATTGTCCGACTTTAAGACTAAGCAATTGAAATAAACATAGGGGTTGTCTTCGTAAGATGAAGATTTACCAATATTGTTATTGAGTTAATTACAAATCGTACTAAGAGTTGGATGTTGAATGTCTAAATTTATATTATAAATCGATATATAGCAAAAAGTATGTGGCCACTACTTTAAACGTACTAAGTATGTGAGATATGTACTGCGATTCTAATAGACTGAACATGATAAAATTTGAGATGTTGAATTGATAATGAAATTGACAATGCACGAATTGATTCAATGACCAAGTAAATCAATATGCAATTGATAAGTATTAAACTGAAACAATTAAATATAAGGTCAACACAAAAATTTGAGATTGAACTATGAAAAATACTAAAAATCAACATATTCTGTTTGAGTTAAAATAAAGTTCAATCTGTATTCCAGATGGAAGGGATTCATACATTGCCAAGGGTACAAATATGATTTTAGCAAAATGATTCTAACCTATTTAAATAAATATTTTTTTAAAAATCTTTTTACCCCTAGCCTGCATCCCTCCGTCCACCAACCTATTCCCTAATTTTATTTTTTTTCAAAAATCATTTTTTTTAAAAAAAATATTTACTGCTCTTGCGGGCATCCCCACTTTCCACCAACCTACCCTTATATTTTTTTTTATTTACCAAAAACAAAAAAAATTTGTCTTTCCAACAAAAAAAAAATTACTCCCTTCCCCCGCCCCCCATCTTCCACTAATCGACTCCTAAAATTTTGTTTGTTTTTCAATAAAAAAAAATAATTACATTTCTTATTTATGTGGGCTGAATATGGATTCTCATATTTATCCATTCTGTCCATATTTGTATGAGCTTAAATAGGTTAAAGACCATATTAACCTATTTAAGAAAATATGAGTGATTCATCTAAAATTGTCATCCTTACAAATAACTATATAAATAAATTGATTTATTGGTAAAAAGACATGTACTCAAAAACTATCCACACAAGTAGGTGTGTACATGGGTAAAGTCAGTTTGATTTTTCATTTTAAAAAAATATAAACCAATTATGTTAGTTTATTAAATCAAAAATCAAATCAAATCATATAAAGTTGATTTTTTTAGTTTCGATTTTAATCGGTTTTTTCAATTTTTTACAACTATACGGCATTTGAAAAAACTATCAAATATTTTTTCCTTACCTGTGTGATAAACTAAACTCAAAAAATGTTAAGTGAATAAAAATTTCCTAAAAGAGTGAAAAATTCACATGAGTTCAAATATTTTTTTTTGGAAATATCAACGTTCATTATGTTAAATTAATAAGATTAAAGGCTAGAGACAAACTGAATACAAAAATATTTACAAAGTAAATTGTTAACTTTAAATTTGAAACGCTATAACTGTAACTTCGAATCTTAATACAAAATAAAATATTTACAATTTTTACAAGTCCAAATTTGAAATAAATATATAAAATTGAAAACTATTAACTAACTAAAAAAATATCAACAAACTAGATTATATATAAACAATATTTTTTATCTATAAATAAAGTTATATATATATATATATATATATATATATATATATATATATCGGTTTGGTTTGCTTTGGGTTCATTTTAACTTTTTTTATCCTAATACCAACCAAAACAAGAGTGCTCGATTTTTTTTCAACAACCAAACCAATCAAACCAAATCACAAGTCGATTTTTTTTTACGATTTGGCTTGTTACACCCCTACAAACAAGTATAAAAAACTATCCATGAAATCGTTTCTTGTATGATCTCATCGAAAAACTTAATCAATAAAAGACTTTAAACTTAACTTAGTACTACATATCTACTTCCTACACTTAGAAATGGACCTTAATAGACATGATCAAGTAGAACATCAGCTGATTGAAGCTGATACACTTACGACGAATAATTTATATCTTTGACGTAGAATCTCACAAGGTTTTAAAAGGTTCCAATTTAATCTAATTAAAAATTACATGCACCTCTTCGTAGTAAGATTAGTGCATGATGTAATTATGAAAAAATAATGAGTATATTGCTTTGTTAACTGACATACAAGATGTTATAAAGAGAAAACATTTTCATTTTACGTTATTATAACTTTTAAATATTTAAATTTATCGCATTTGATAACATTTTTTAAAAATCAAAATTATATCATACATAAAAAATAAAACACTCGAGACAATTTTAAAAATGGCTTAAGTCATATATCGCCCCTCAAAGTTGTCCGCATAATTCACTTAGACACCTCAACTGAGACTTGTACTTATTGAACACCTAAATTGTTCAAAACATGTACCTATTAGACACAAAATACTGATATGACAAAAAATGTGTATTGCACTTTCCTGAAGCGCGTGAAAAGACTTAAAATAGTGTCTTTTTTATTTTATTTTTTACATTTTTTCTTCTTTTATTGACACTTGGCATTATAATTAACTTAAAATATATTTTATTCTTTATTTTCACTTTTTTCAAAAAAAAAACACCCCACTCTCTATCTAACATCTTCTTCATAATTTAGTTTACAAAACTTTCTTCATTTTAGCTCCAACGCTATTTTTTTTCTTTTTTTTTTATATACAAAAAATTTATATCTTCCAAATATGAAGATAAATGAAAATCTACTATAAAGATTCAGATTTGAAAGAAAGTCTTCGTATGATTTATTTCAAATCTCATAAAAACAAGGAAAATGAAAAAAGATAAATGACTTTTACATATAAAAATAGTTAGCCGATATTTATTTATCACAATTTTCGAACAAAGATTTTTACTCAAATTCATATGTGGTCATTAAATTTATCAAAAATGATATAAAAAATTTGGAAGAAATAATTTTGGGGTTATCAATTTCATTTTGTCATAGATGTAGAATTGAATAACCGCCAACAAAATTTTCTTTCTTCTTCACTCTTAGTATGAAAAAAAAAAATCTTGAAGTTATTTGAAAAGAATAAGATTTTGTAATTTGAGAAAGAATGTGTTTTGGAGAAGAAGATGAAGATGAAAGGGGGTTGGAGTGGGGTGGGGGTAAGGTGTGATAGAATAGGTAGACATTTTCATTATTCTTTTTCTTTTTTAAAAAATTAAATATTAAACGTGTGTTTTTTTTATAATTTTTGGTCCAATGCCAAATGTTATTTTTTAATTAGTCATGTTGCCACGTCACCGCAAGTGTATCACACACTCTTCACATTTTTTGTTGATTATAAAAAAAATGTCTAATAGAAATGATTATTATATAGGTAAAAATGTTCAATTGGTACTAATATTAGTTGAAATGTCTAAGCGAATTATGCAGAGAACTTTAAGGAACCTGATTGACTTAACTTTTTGAAAATCTCTCTATGTTTGTTACATATAGGGAAAAAAAAAAGTAATGTCAGTCACTCACCCCTCATCACCTAATTTTTTAGTTAATGGTTTTTGGTTAAAGATTTGATAAGCATGATGTCATTGTAGTATTAGGATATAGCACGCGTAGAAGAAGTAATCAATTAGGGGATTGAATAAACTAATTTTGATTTGTTTACTTATCTGTTTAATTACGCAATGATGATTAATCTTAGTTCTAATCTTATCGTACACACTAAGCCAAAAGAACCATACTTGAAAAGCAAAGTGGATTTTTGTCCTTTTGATTAGGACTCCCACTTCCTAAATGAGCCATTTGTTTTATTGCACCGTTTTTTATTTTATTTTATATGAGTTAGTTCGAATCGGTAGAAAATTTTTAAATGAAAAGAAAACTTTTGAAATTTATTTGAGATAAGTGATATTTCTTGTGTTTAAAAAAAAAAGATTTTATTTTCTTCTTAATCTGTTTAAAAAAGAATGTTTCGTTTTTTTTTTTACAATAATTTAACTTTAACTTTCCATGTGACATATTTAAGACCACAAGATTAAAGAACATTTTGATATATTTGACATAACTTTAATTTAGAACCACAAGATTAACAAGTCTTCTTTCTTTTCTTAAATTTCATTATAAGTCAAACTAGGTCATCCTTTTCGTTAATATCCTTTTTTTAACGAAGAGAGTAGATATTTGTGTTGTTATAAGTTATTTTATAAAAAGTAAAATAAATATTTTAATGTTAAATTGTTACTTGCTATATAAACATGTCATTCTTGTTTGAGGTAACTAAAAAGAAAAATAAATCAAATTTAGAGAAAAATGTACAAAACACTTTTTTTATTAAAAAACTCGTTTAAGACCCTTTTGTAGAGCTTTCATTAAAAAACCCGTTTAAGACCCCTTTGTAAAGCTTTCAAATTTCGTACTTACTTTTTAAGGGGAGTTATTTTCTAATCGATTTTAAATTGTGAAAAGTTGATTATTACTATTTTTTCAAGTTATTTTCTTTCACACACAAAACTTCTCTACACTAATAACAACAACAACGGAGATTCTAGAAAAGATATAATGTATGCATGTATCATCTTTTACCTAAAAATAGAGATATTATTATGGATTAAAGTACATGAAATATTATACAAACAAGATAACTAATGGTAACAAGACAATGATTATAATTGAATCATGTGATGACCAAAAATATAAGATAATAAGTAATAAAAATCAAAGAACTAGAAATTACGAGTGCAACACTAACTACTAATATGAACAGATGATAAAACAACACACGATGACCTTCTAATTTTCTATCCTAATTTGTGTCCTCCCTAATCTTTCTACGTAAGATCCTAAGCATCTATTTCCAGCCCTCATCAACACACGTCCATTCATACACATTCATTTCTACTATTTTCTCGTTTTATCTCTGTTTATATAAATTATCTATAGCCAATCACTCACACATCCACACTAGAACATCAAAACATATCACTTTCAAATGTTCAAAATTATCTCGATCTTTAACTTCCGCACCAAAGCCACTTCCAAATGTACCTATTTTAATCCTATCTCTTCTAGAACAACGAGAGAGGTTACAACATAGTTGGTCTTAACTATTACTTTGCATTTAGTCACAAAACTTGTATGTTTTTGATCAAATTATATAAACATAAGCTTTCTTTTCAATGTTCAAAAGAAAAGCTGATATGATAAAGTGAAAAAGAAATTGAGCAGAGAGAGACGTTAGTGGAAGAAGAACTGAAAGAGAAAGGCGGGCGACCTTTGCTGACCCTTCAAGTCTCTCCCTCCCTGCATGTCCCCTTTTCCATTTTTGAACTGTTTTACACTTTACGCTTCTCTCTCTCTCCCAATTCCACCGTTCCGGTACCGGAAATTCAACAAACTTCCCTAATATTTCTCTATCACAAATTTTAAAACAGACCCACAAACACTGCAGCTTACTAGCTTTAGTTTTATGTCTTTAACTTTTGTTTTCAAGATTCTTGCTTCACACTTATTATTCAACTATTTCATACTTGGGTTTTTCTAAAGACTTCATTTTTAGCTTTAAAAAAAAACTTTTTTTTTTTTGGGTTTTGCGTATGGAGTATTAAGAGGAAGATTATGCTGTATTAGGGCTTGATTAGAGGTAAGGATTTTAGGAATGGAGTCGAAGATTTGCATGAATGGACTGTGTGGGACAACTTCTTCAATTGAGTGGAAAAAAGGGTGGCCTTTGCGATCTGGTGAATTTGCGACCCTCTGTGATAAGTGCGGGTAATTCAATTCAGATCTCACTCTCTCTTTATACTTAATTTATATATGTTTGTAAATTCAGTTTTGTTGTTCTTTTTGTTTTGTAGAAACTGGTTTGCCTAGTGCTCAACTCTGTTTGATCATTTTATATGATAACATTACCATTTAGAATGTCAAACAGTGATTTTTCATTGTAAAAATGTTCTGACTTATATACTCTTTGTATAGGTTTTGAATTTGCTTATTTTATTCGAGAAAAGATTAAGGAATCAATGTCCTACTAATTGAGATGGTTTGAAATTTGTTTATTGAGCTGATTGTTCTTTTTTGAAACGGAAGAAGTATTTACAATCTGAACAGTTTCTGTGTTTATGTTAAGGTTACTGTGTTGGTGAATACTGTAGCAGCTCGGAGAATTATCCTTTTTGTTTTGCTGAAAGATATTTGCTAAATCATGTTCTTTTATCCGACTGTTCTTTAATTCGACTAAACAATTACTTTACCTTTTCAAATTAGAGATTGCATATTCAATTTGAGAGAATTAATTCTATTGGGATAATATGTTCCTAGTCCAGTTCATGCACCCTAGTAATGGTTGCTCAAACTGACTCTAGTTCTGGAAAGATTAAAGATCCTGCAAGATCAAAATGTGGGAAAGATAATCCTTCTTCTTTCTGTTTCACTTGTTGTCTTTTAGGAAGTCAGTGCAGATTAACCTGCTTACGTTCTCCTAAGGATTTGTATTATCTGTGATTCTTGCTGTGTCATAGGGAGGTTTTTCTTGGCTGAGATCAGGAGCATGGGCTTATGATCTAAGTGAGGCCGTTGAAGCGAGCCAGAATTTTTAATAAGGGGGTTCAGAATCTGAAGAAATAAACACATGAAGTAGCCGAAGGGGGTTCGACATCTATCGTATATACCTAAAAATTTATTTTAACCATGTAACAATAATATAATTTTCCGCCGAAGGGGGTTCGGATGAATCCCTAGTGATAAGGTGGCTCCGCCCCTGTGTTGAAGTGATGGCATAACTTTTTTTTTCTTTCCAGAATTGTCTATTTGGTTCCATGTTAAGTTACTGTGGAGCAACTTTGTCTTTTTTTGCTCTTTTTGGCCTTTATATGAAATAGAGATTGCATGCAGTGATTTCACTTACAGTAAATAATACAGTGCTGATGGAATGAAACTATTTTATTATTAATATTTGTTATTTTTTTCCCTTTTGTTTTGTTTTGTTTGTTTGTTTTACTTCTGTTATTTTTCTGTTTATCTTTTGTTTCTTGGTCAGGATAGATGACTGGTAGTTAAATTCATGATAAACTTAGATCTTTTGCAATCTACCGCCTGCATTGCCGAAAGGAAAAACATTCACTTTAACTTTGGAATAAAATGTAGCTAATGACAGTTTCACCATAAACTGAAAACTGAAACTAATGCAGAGTCTTAGGGCATCCAGTTTGAGAAATTATATCTGGAACGCTTCTAGTGTAGACACATTTGCATAAAACTTATTGATGCCAAAGCAATTCCTGGTATAGTCGATGTAAGCACAAGTTGAATCGGACACCACTATTATTAAAAAAATAATTAAAAAGATTCAATGGCGATATATTGGAATATGGTGGTAACCAATTAGAATTGAAGACCACGTAGTTGTAGAGTTGTATCACTGACTCAGGAGCCTGCCCATTCATTAATGAGCAAGATTCTCTTCAGTATTGAGTGGCAAAATCACAAACCACTGCCATTAGTGGGTTGAACGGAAACTTCTGAGCCCTTTTTTCTTAAAAAGTTAAGATGGTTCGAGGACCAACTTGCGCTAGCATATGTTAACTAATCCATCAGCACAGATATCACATAATTCTCGGTAATTCTGACCATCATGACTTAGGCAGACTGCAGATGGGATGAATTGACCTAATGCACCTACTGGGAGCAAGCTTTGATTCCTACGGTTTTCAGTCTAACTCTTCGACTGGTACGCCTCCCCCTTGTCGGCCTTCTATAGTGTTCACTCTTTTCTTGCCCAATTCATGCAGGCAAAGGGTTACTATAGTTTCATGACTTATTTTATACATTCTGTTCTTGTTAATATGAGATCAGTTTTTCTTCCCAAATGTCAACTCACTTAGAGTAGATGACCATCATTTAGCAATCTGTGGACGCCTTTCTCTGAGTGTACTGATTTCATCTCAAATGCAATGGTAGATTATCTCTTACGCCTAAAAGGTCTATTGACTAAGTTCTCTTTGCTTGAATGGTGGAGAGTATAGATTTTAAAAAGTAGTTCTTCATGCTGATGACGCCAGAATCATACTAACTAAATACTTAGAAATAAGTATGTTGAAAGTAATTGAATTTGGAAACTTGGAGGAATAAAAGAATTTACCTTAAGTTTTAATACAAAATTCTGGCAAGCCGAGTACTGTCAAATGGTGAAAGGGTAGATTTCTCAACATTATACGAAATATTGGTGTCTGCTAAAAGTGGGATGAATTTAAACACGTATTAATTGCCTCAAGTTAGGTGTAGGACTTCGCATCAATTATTTTTATGAAGCGCTAAAATATCTCGTAAAATGAAATATATATATTGGTCTGCAATTTCTTTTTTTAGGATGGTAACACTAATCTATATATTCACAGGTAGAATACATCCAAAATATGTAGTCCCCTTCAAAAGGTATTACAGTCTAGTCATATTGCCGTCTATCACCTCTACTTCTTACAAATAATCTAAAACATCCCAGATATCTTCTGCTTGGTCTACAATTTGTAATGTGAAGTTTGTATTTACCATCTTGTGAGTTGTGACCTAACTTCACTCAGATTTTCCTGAGAATTAGATCACTAACTCTCGATGTCATAACATGGGATTTGGATTTACCCCAGGAATGCTTATGAACAACTACTCTTCTGTGATTTATTCCACTCGGAGGACACTGGTTGGAGGGAGTGCATTTCATGTGGCAAGGTTAGCTCCAGAATAGTATTTCTGTCCATAGTACAATCTAATTCTCCGCAGAGCCACTTACCTTTTAAACTAATTTTGGTATTCACAGCGTCTTCATTGCGGATGTATTGCTTCTAGCTCTTTGCTAGAGCTGCTCGATAGCGGGGGCATTAATTGTATCAGCTGTGTGAGGAGCTGTCAGCAACATGCTGTGAGATAAATTTTATGCATTCATGTGAACTTTTGTACTGTGACATACAAATGAATTGTAATTACTGAAGTTGGCTTGCTAGCTCTCCTTGGATTGTAATTTTACTATTTAAGTAGTAAAGCATAAAACATTTGAATAACATAGTAAACTCTAACAACTCGTGGACATTGCTCCTATTGATTTTATCCAAAAAAATTACATCTAAGGAAAAAACCCAGCAAATTGCCCTCGTGCTTGCCATCTGTTTATCAGTTCTATTTCCTGATTGTTCTCTAACATTGTTTTGGAGTAGGATGCCCTATTTTTATTTGTAATGTAGTTAAGCAAGTCTAGTTTTTAATAAGCAAGTATTTTTTTCATTGGAAGATACAGATTGAAGTTGCTAGACTTGACATTGTTTCTTAGGGTTTTCGCTATTAGAAATTTTGGAACTATAATTGCATCCTGCATCATGTTCTTCCATTTTCCTGCAGACCCCAAATCATGAGAAGCCTAAAGCTTTTGGAACTTCTATCTCAAACAGTGTTGGTGAAACAGCTTCCACTTCTCTGGGCAGTCAGATAAATGGTTCAGAACCAAATAAAAGAGAGGGTTCTGACAGTATTGATCCAGCACTTCTGCTCCTACACCAGAATGACAACACCAATAGTCCTATAGGCCAAATAAAAATGGAAGAAACCTTCCATCCTGCTGGAGAATCTGGAAGCACTTTTTCATCAAATTTGTTTCAGGCTTCGGCGGAGTTCTCTAAAAATGCCAAACTGGATTCATATAACGGATACAAAGGAGTTGTAGAGATTCATGGATCAACTGTGCAAACAAATTTAAGCATAGCTCTGTCTGCACCTTCACCGAACTCAAAGCTCTTTCCTACTACATTGGATGAGGGGGACCTGAACAAGACAATATCTTCCTTGCAGCAAGGGTCTAGATCTCGAAATCTATTGCCCAAACCCCCAAAATCTGCCTCTGCTTTGGGACCGGAGATGAATGCTGGCATAATTTCACAGATTCGTGTTGCCAGACCACCTGTTGAAGGTCGGATTAAGAATCAGCTGCTTCCACGCTATTGGCCAAGGATAACAGACCAGGAGTTGCAGCAAATATCTGGAGAGTATCCATCATAAGTTCTTAAATTAGATTCATTGTTGTTGACCTATTTCATACATGATTTCCTTGACAAATTTTTTTTCAAGCTCAAATTCCACCATCATACCATTATTTGAGAAGGTCCTGAGTGCAAGTGATGCAGGTCGAATTGGCCGTTTGGTGCTTCCTAAAGCGTGTGCTGAAGTATGTTTCCAACTTTCGCATTTGTTTCATCCTCCTCATTTTTACACATTCTTCTCTACTGACTTTTTTGCCCACCAAAGTAGAGGCCTAGTCTTCCTTTACCTTTGTCCTCGTGGTGACACCAGCAAGTTCATTAAATTTAACTATTTTCATTGTTCAGGCATATTTCCCACCAATTTCTCAACCAGAAGGCCTTCCTCTGCGGATTCAAGATGTGAAGGGCAAAGAATGGGTATTCCAGTTCAGATTTTGGCCAAACAACAACAGCAGGATGTATGTTCTCGAGGGTGTGACCCCTTGCATACAATCTATGCAATTACAAGCCGGAGATACAGGTAATGAAGTTTCATTCTTTTGTAGTGAGCCATAAAGCCTGTTATATTCGGATTACCTTGTTAACATTAAGCAGTAATTATTTTCCTAGGCTTGAATCTTGATAAGATTGTCTTTTTGTTCATGAGATTCTATGATTAAGACATTTTAGTTCTTTTACAAGTAGGGGTAGCAAATGGGTTGAGTCAATAAATAGGTCATTACTCAAGTCCCAACCTGCCCAATATTAACTTGGACTAAGATGGGCTAAATAGTGGGTCATAAGCCCCCCTCCCCCTCCCCAAAATAAAACAAACGAACTTGACCCATCCTTTTTTCTTTCCAATAAATAAGTTTACATTCTAGTAAGAAACAGTTTTTGTAGTAAGTTCCGATATTCTGACATGTTTGATATTTTTATCTTACATTCTTAACCTTGAATTAAGTCTTTCTCCATTCCTGTGGGTTATGGTAGACATCTATACGGTTATGTTTGGCAGCTTGTCTAAGACAGGTTAAGCTGGGCATAGCTCAAATTAGTTCATCAGTTAAATATCTGAGTCCGGAGCCAAAAGGTAAGAAAACTTGTCAAAAATTCCAAAAGGGCAACAAAATTAATTAGAGAACCAAAAGGGCAACTTTCTGACAGACAATTTGACGACGTTTAGATCAGGGAAGCCGCCGCAAGGCGCGGAATTCCATGCGCCTTGCGGCGGTTTTTATTTAAAAAAGAATTTTGTTTAGTTGATAGTAATTGATTGTTTTTTAAAAGTATACTATTGGGCTTAATTATCCTTTTGGCTCCGGACACGGAAATATCTCTTGCCCAACCTGATAAGTTTTGGGCAGGTTTTAAATAATTGGGTCAATTTTGCTACCCCTAGTTCTTTGCTTTAACTCAACATTGAAGCAATGATGCTGGCAGGTCAATACTCATTATCCACCTCTATTTGAGATAAAGGGGGTCAGGTTAGACATAGTATTTATGAGATTTGAATTTTTGACACTCCAAATACAAGCCTTTGCCTATCAGTCTTTGTTAAAGCCAGTCAGCTATTCTGGAATTAGAATGACAGTAATAGGGCCAATACTTCTTTCACTTTTCCAAGTTTAGTATTATTAGCTATAAAACAACGAGTTCATTGTTAACTACTGTAACTTTTAAGTTGGTCTGACAGGATGATCCTTAATTATATTTACTTCTTGTAACAACCAACTATTTTCCTATTCATACACTATCAGAGGGAGGATAGTCGCATTGAGTACTTATAGTATTAACATAGTCTGGTTCCTAACAGGTTTGAATATAAGAACGTTATGCCAGGAAGTGAATAGAGTGAAGATGCAAATATCGTATGGAATATTTTTTCCCATCTTCTTCTAGGTATCTAATATGAAAGAATTTGTTTTTTTTTTAGGTTTTTACTGAAAATGTCTGGTGTACTGGCTCAATGATTCAATATATTTATAGAGTCCTTCAACTACTAACAAAAATTATTTTTGTATTCTAAAATCAAGATAATAAAACAGAACATGAGTTTCACCTCTGTAGTCTTGCTGACTTCTGTGCTCATATTCTTGCATTGATCTTGCTCATGAGTTGGTCCAGCTCCTGATAAGCTCCACATGCTCAAGAAATGGATAGAAAGCGGGAGAAACTCATGTTTTTCTCTAGTGAATGAATTCCAAAATTTCGTGTTGTGGAGAGTCCCACATCGGCAATGGAAAAGGGAATTTAGACTCTTTAAATGATCTTGGGCAATCCTCACCTCTTGAGCTAGCTTTTGGGGTTTAGTTAGGCGCAAGGTCCATCTGACTTATGTGCTCATATTCTTGCATTGATCTTGCTCGTGAGTCTGTCCAGCTCCTGATAAGCTCCACATGCTCAAGAAATGGATAGAAAGCGAGAGAAACACGTGTTTTTCCCTAGTGAATGAATTCCAAAATTTTCGTGTTGTGGAGAGTCCCACATCGGCAATGGAAAGGGAATTTAGACTATTTAAACGATCTTGGGCAACGCTCACCTCTTGAGCTAGCTTTTGGAGTTGAGTTAGGCACAAGGGCTATTTCTTTAGTACCTGTCATTTTATGTTTTTGTTCCTTGTTCGTTTTTGTGCTCTCTATTCAGACTTAGGATTCTACTACTCATTTCTCATCCTATAAGAACATTTAATTACATGTTTTTGTTCATTGTTCGTTTTTGTGCTCTCTATTCAGACTTAAGATTTTACTACTCATTTCTCATCCTATAGAACATTTCATTGCAGTGACTTTCAGCCGCATGGATCCAGAAGGAAAGCTTTTAATGGGGTTTCGTAAAGCATCAACTGTTAAAATAACTCAGGTAACTATTCCACATAGGGGCTTCGTCTTGAGTTCACTTTAGTGGCTTATGGGATATAATATTGATTATATTGCCTAAACAGGAAAATCGTCTGTCAGCCATACCCAAGAATGTTTTCTCTACTGAACCCACCTCCTTCTCAGCAATGCCTGAGAATCTACCTTTGATGAGTGGTTATTCTGGCCTTCTTCAATCATTTAAAGGAAGCAGGGAGTCTTCTGTGAATTTATCCTCGAAGCATTTCAATAGTGGTGATTTTAGCTGGTACTTAACGGAGAAGAACGGAGGCAGGAATGCAGATGGTGCCTTCTCCCCTTCAATGCCTGTATCAGAGCGTAAAAGAAGTCGTAATATTGGGTCAAAAAGTAAGAGACTGCTCATTGATGCCCACGATGCTTTGGAGTTGAAGCTTTCATGGGAGGAGTTACAGGATATGCTCCGACCACCACTGAGTGTTCAGCCAACCACTGTCACCATAGAGGACCAAGAATTTGAAGAATACGAAGTATGTAGCTTTATCTTTGAAATAATCTGTGCTGCTCATGCTTTGTGGTTGAACTAGATGAATTTCACATTATCTTAATCGACGAGAATTGCTGTTAAGATTTAATCATTCCGCTAAAAAACTCTGGCTTTGGTTTGTAACTTTGTTCTTCAAAATGCAGCAACCACCTGTTCTTGGGAAGAGGAGTATATTTACTGTCCGCTTATCTGGGTAAGAAAGAATATCTTATCAGAATGTATTCCACTACTCCAACATGTTGCTTAAAAAATTATGAGAAAGGACATCAGCAATAACAGACCGTCATAAGTTACCTTTTCTGAATATTTTCACTAACAAGGAGTCGAGGGCCTATGTTGCTTAGACTCCAAAACAGCTACCACAACCGTGTCAAATCCTCCAAAAAAGCTTAGCTTTTGGACGATCTGAGACGCACGCGGCGACCTAGTTAGATGGCTGATAGGAAACAATATTATGTTACTAACTGGTTTGGTCAGCATGAAAATGTGAAGAATGTCCCTAAAATAGGTAAATTCTAACTCATTCTGCTGCTACAAGAAGAGCTTTCCTCTTTCCAAAAAGTTTGGTCCTAAGACATAGCTCTCTGTACAGTGGCTGTTTCCTCTGAGAGACTCCTTTCTCCCGTCATATTCCAAATATTTCTTTTATTCAGACATTAATTTTGGAAGCTGATAGATATAGTGGTGCTGTCTCTTCCCTTGGCATTCTTTGACCTGTTTATTTCTCCAATGGTTAAGAAAACAGAAAAGAGATAGGAGATGACAAAATAATGGGAAGATATCGGAGCGGGCATAGACACAAGAGGCACCAAATAGGATGACATCACCAATTCACTGTTGAAGTTTGAACTGTAGACTGTAATTTGTTCCACATATTCAACTGCAACAAATACTCTTACAAAACATATATTTTCTTTTCTAAAGATTCTTTTTCATGTCCATCATTGACATTTGATATTCCTTAGACTGCTCAAATTGGAAGTTTTACTGGTATATCACTGATCCCAGGGAGCAGGAGCAGTGGGCTCAATGTGATAATTGCTTTAAGTGGCGAAAGTTGCCAGCTGATTATCTTCTACCTCCTCATTGGACATGTCAGGACAACATTTCAGATCATAGCAGGTCAGGACACCGCAATTCAAGGAATTTTGCTCAACAGCACTTATGCGACTTAAAATTAGACTAATCATGCTCATGTTCTCAGGTCCTCTTGTTCCATCCCAGACGATTTAACACCCAGAGAGCTTGAAAATCTTTTCAAAATGGACAAGGGTGAAGTAACTTGTTGCTTTAGTTTTAGTGTATATTTCGGTCATGCACCAGCTGGTTCTTATATGATAACGTCCTAAAATTCACGAACTCTTGATTTAATATACTTATGTAATGCCTTCATTATTTGTAAGCCTGTAGTTGTGCTAAACTAAATTTCATTTACCGATCACATAATTAACATGTAGCCAGTTGTGCACATATGATATGAAACTATCGGACGAATTACCTCCCATCCGTTCTAGCTACAATGTTGCATACCTGACAATCATTCCACTTGCAGTCATTTTAACTGTATGCTTGGTTTGGTTGGGGACACTTTCTTAGTTTGACAAAAATACTAAAATGCTGTGGTTCTTAGTTTTGTTGGCGTTGCTGTACAGATTTCAAGAAACAAAGAAGTGCAGCAGGCCAAAGGATAACACAGGCCCATGATTCTTCTGATTTAGATTCTCAAGCAAATGGAATAAGCATTGCTGGTGACCTAGGAGAGCCTGGTCCCGCATCAGTTGCAACAACAACTAAACACCCAAGGCATCGACCTGGATGTTCTTGCATTGTGTGCATCCAGCCTCCCAGTGGGAAGGGCAAACATAATCCAACATGTACTTGCAATGTCTGCATGACAGTGAAACGTCGTTTCAAGACACTTATGATGCGCAAAAAGAAGCGTCAATCAGAACGTGAAGCGGAACTTGGCCAGAGGAATCAACTTATGTGGAGTTCCAAGGAAGAGACTGAAGTGGACAGCTTCTCTAGACCAGTGAAACCAGAAGTTGATCCTTCAGAGAAAGAAAGATCTGGAAGCGAGACACTGGCGAGGGGCCATAGCAGCTATCAATTGCAGAAGCTTCCGGAAATAAGTAAGTCGCAATTAGACTTAAACTGTCACCCAAATCGTGAAGATACCGGTTCATCTCATATTAGCATGATGTCTCTTCTTCAGCAAGCATGTCTGCCGCTAGAGACATATCTGAGGCAGAATGGTCTAACAAGCTTAGTTTCTGAGCAACAAGGGAGCTCAGGGTCCCAAGGGTTGCCCCAAGACACCAGAGAGAGTGACCTACGCGTCCAAGAGGATCTGTGCCTTGCTTCTACTGCTCAAGAGCAAGAGAAGGATGTCCCCAAGGAAAACTCTGAACCAGATCAAACTGGAAAAGACCAATGATGAAACATGAAATCCTTTTGGTTGCTAATGCTCCTTTCTATTCTTTTTCTTGATGGACCAACAATACAGAAGATTTCCACTACCTTGTTGATATCTTGTAGTTATTAGGAGTATGTGAAGCAAGTGGATGTTAAAAATATTTGTGTTTATAGGTTGTACTATGTGTGTCCTGCAAAATATATTTAGATGATTTCCCTCATGAGTAACAACTTTTAAAGGTCATATAATTTCCAATAGCCCATGATGTATTTGCTTGATATCTTTTGTTGGATTAAACACTTGTGATGGACAAAGGAGTTGAAAAGAAAGTCACTAATATGTATATGAAAAATTGAAATTGTTTCAACAAATTATTTGTTCTTGTTTTAAAGGCAACCCCACCCCCTCAATTGGTTTAGTAGCTTTTTGGAAAAAAAATTTCTAGTTTTATGTATTTTTGCCAAGTGATTTATAGATCTGATGAAAGTGTAGCAGCTGATATAAAAAGGAGGAAACATAATCTGCACCTGGAAGATAGAAGCCAGCTGATAATGAACATTTGACACCTTAATCATCTACATCAATTGCTAAGATTACTTTAAACTATTGCTTAAACAAGCTTGAAATGTCTGAAAACCAGTATGAATCAAGTGCAGGCAGCTTGTACTAATGCAAATATATGTGAGATTTTGTAGCTGACATTTTCCAACCTTATATTTCATTCACCATTAGATTACAAAACTTTCCAGGTAACATGGAATACTGAAATTTACTTCTCTATCAAAGAGTAAGGTTGCATCACCCTCACTACTGAAACCATATTTCTCACCAAGCCAAGTTCCCAAAATACAACATTTCTTAATAAACTAAAAAAAGAATACTTGTACACATATACATCATTACACAATAGAATTTTCTTTCTTCTTTATCTTCCCTTCCCTTTCTCTTTTTATTGCTTTCCAGCAATCTGGGGATTGTTTTTTTCATCTCGGAAGGGGCTGGAGGTTGACGAATAACATATTAAAGAAAATCTACATCTCCCCACACATCTTGATTCACAGAACACTAATCAAACCAAAGGACAAACCTTATCTACAAAATGTTATTTCCCACATCTTCTTCCTTGAGGAATGGGAAGGTAGAAAACCACATCTTTATCCTTCATATCTTTTCATGTAATCACTTGTCACAAGAGAGGGCTAGAAGTAACCTATTAAAGAATAAACAATCAAAATCCTTCAACACTGGACCTGCGAAAAGATGAAGTTGATGACCTTCGGCTTTCCAGTCTATCAAGGTCCTCCAAAGAGAAAGAGTAGGAACATGTTAATGAAGGACGAGCCAAGGGTTGAGTAGCAACCTTTGAGGGAGAAGCCGATGTTCGGGTGAGTGGTAAGGAAGGGGAGAAACTCAACCTTGGCACAGGAGTGATGATGCCATTCATGCTTGGAGACTTTGACATGTGTTTACCACCAACAACCGCTGGTTCTTGCAGAGGAAACCGTGAAGGGCACTTCATCACTTGTACGGATTTGAGTTGGTCCAAGATAGTTCTCATGGTGGGCCTTTCAGATGGATCCTTTTGCAGGCATCTTTGGGCAATATCAGCCACTGTACGGGCTGCTTTTGCGGGAAACCGTCCTTTAAGCTGAGGATCCATGATAAGCGATAATCTACCATCATCAGCAAGGAAAGGCCTACTCCACTTGACTAGATTCCTCTCTTCCTTTGAATACCGACCATCAAGATTCTTCCGGCCAGTGAGCAGTTCTAAAAGAACAATCCCGAAACTCCAAACATTGCTCTTAGGAGTTATCAACCCTCTCTCCAGTGTCTCCTGTGAGAGATTCGCCAGGGCCTGAACAAATGGGCTTACTTTATTAATTAAAATCTCCCAAGAAGTTAGAAAGTGCAAACAATGGAACCACAACTCATAATTAGACTCTAGAGTAATTAGAAAGCAAAATGCTTCTCAACAAATAGTAATCTATGATGCATAGACATCTCTTCTCTTAAGAGCCACATCCTCGGATATTATGGGTCGCAATGTCTATCACGACATACTTCAAAATTAAGGTTCTATTCACATACATCTTAACTACATGCCAGACAGAGCTTGCTGATGATCAACTATACAATACAGCCATCTCGCCTAGTCCTCCCAAAACATGGGGTGAATATTTGAATTTTTAGACCAACATTTCTCAGAGAAAATAAATTCTGTGTGTGCAACAGTAAATAAGAGAACTTACGATTGAATTGCAAGATATCTCCGTCTCTTGTATATTCGTAATGCATCCATACCCCGAGAGCTTTGCACTAAAATCCTTGTCGATTTGTATATTTCCAGTTGAAAATTCTTGGAACATTGCCTGTTGGTGGAGATAAGAAATTCAGCAAAATGACTATCATAGGACAAGTTTCAACATGAAAAACTACAAATTTCCGTAAAAGAATACAAAGATGACACCAAAAACTACAAGTTTGTGTGACGGGAAAAAAGGCCACACAGCTCAGGCTACGTATAGCAGATAATAGTGTTGATACCTGAAAAGGTCCCTCCTCATGTAGAAATGTAAGACCTTGTGCAGCACATAGGGCAATTTTGGTTCTCGCATTCCAATCTATAGAGGGGCCATCTGATCTTCCGAACAAAAGTCTGTCTAAGCTTCCATGAAAAAGCCTCTCAAAAACCAACATCCTGTGCTCAGAACCTTCGCGTGCATGAAAACCAATCAGTTTACAAAGTGAAGAATGTTGCAAAGAAGCCAGGGTGTTCACCTCGTTGACAAATTCCTTCAGACCCTGAAAAAGGCCAAAAAGACGGTGAGATTGGTTTCTAAATATCATGGACTTGTTAAAACCTCATAAACCACAAAGTTGATGCAGGCTTGTCATGCAAATTCCTGATTGGACAATACCCATTCTTTTATCACTGCAGAATAGAAAGGGCAACAAGTACAGAGAAACAGTGCTGCTAAAAGCCAAATATTAACCCTGCCAAGCCTAGACACCAAACTAGAATGGCATTACAATATTACCGCATCATCAGATATAGGACAGATAAGAGAAGGACTAATCAGCAGATGACACACAACTAGGATAACATAAAGTCAAAACATGCCAATGCAACTGAACGTTACCTGTGAAGAAGGGTGAAGGCGAGTTATAGTGGCTTCAAGCTTCTTTGTACCAGAGGCATCATCCCCAAAAGAAGCTCTGTAGATAACAGAAGAGAGACCTTCTGACACACAACGTTCTGGAGAGAAATGGTGGCATGCAGCAGAAATTTCATCAAAAGCAAAGTTCCGAAGCGTTCCAGTAGAAGGCAATGTAGGAGGCAGCACAGGAGGCAGTGGCAATGGTCCAGAGGCATTGAGAGGGCTACTTGTATTCCCCACTTTGAAGCTTTTCATAGTCCTGAGAGCAGCGGCATTCTGAGGTGATGGAAGTGGTAGAGGCTGAGGAACTGATGACCTGTACTCCTTTATTGATCCAGCACGACTACTCAGCTCTTCATGTTCCTCACATTCATTCGATGCTAGAGCATCTTGATCTGCTGTGTCTAGACTTGATGGGGCGGATAGAGTTCGTGCCCTACTCGTTGTTACTCCATTGTTTGACTGCACAGGTTTCACTCTTGTTCTAAAACTTGGTGGAGCTGACTGCAATGATCTTGTTTGTCTCTGGGGTTCAGGCAGTGCAGTAGGTGACTGCTCCTGAGGGTTCACACGTTTGATGTGGATGCTATGCACGGATTTTTTCTTCTTACTCTTTGAAACCGTGAAACATCCCATTTTGATGTCTAAATAATCCGGCCTTATCAGGTTTATAATTGTCCTGCCAAATCAATAGTAAAACATAAACATATGACAACATTCTGAAACACTTGACAACCTAAAGTATTGATTAACATAGTTTATCAGGGAATCAAATCACTAACGTTTATATAAGATCACAAAGTAAAACCAATTTTTGGCGAAGTTGCAATCAAGATATTATATTAACACTTGGCTCCACCAACCAAACTGGTTTGGGAACCTAAGATATTGAATGATCTCCTACTATTGCTTAAAACAGAGTTTGAATTACTCCGGTTCCACTTTCCAAATCAATAGCAATGCTGCCATCAACTTATATTCACTCCAAGTACAACAAATGATTAAAACTACAGCATTTCTACAAGAGACTCAGAAATCAATCAATCTTCATCAATAAAGAATCAGAAATCAATCATGTTTCTTGTTAGCTACAGATAGGCTCAACTCAACTAGAGGATCAATGAAAACAATTCAAATGTTTTGGTACATTTCCATAAAAAAAAGTGATGTCATCAATAATTGTCAATATATGCCTTCATAGTTCAATCAATTTATAAGTTTTTGAATTTTCAAAGCACAAAATACAATAAACTCTCTCTAAATTGGACACTAACATCAAAAAGGCAATTTTTGAAGAATCACTAATAAATGAATGTGGGACTGATAAAACCAATCTAATCTAAACTACCAACAACAATGGATTCTCTTAACAAGACCCCAAATCCAAAAATTTCAGCTAAATTTCTAAAATTAACAAGATGAAAGCAAGATCAAGAAAAGCTAAAAAACCAACCTGGGACACTTTTTTTGAGCTCAAAGTTTGGATCTTTACTGATTTCTTGGGATTTCAAGACAACCCAGATAATGAATTTTCAATCAAATCTGTTGAATGAATGGGTAAATAAGGGGTGAGGAAAGAAACCCTAACAAGAAGTTATAGAAATGGAAATGTGTAAAGGGAAAAAGATGAGACTTTTAAGAGTAAAAAGGCAAAAGAAAGTAGGAAAAAGAAGACTGGAGTTTGTTGGGGTGGGGTAAGGGGTGGGGGTGGGGAGGTGGTTTCATAGGAAAGAGGAGTGAAGAAATATTAGTCAAACTCAAACCAACAAAAATCCACACAATTATCATTAAAAATCTCAAATTTCTATTATTATATGCTTTTAGATTAAGAAAATATGCCATTGGTATCATCTACTTGTATCAATGCAAATCTCATACCTTATGACATTTTTGCCCTCACGCACTTATAAATGTACTATTTAACTTGGTTTTAGTTACTCTCTTTGTTCACTTTTAGTTAACATTATTTTTTTTAGAGTCAATCGATAAAAAAATTAACTAATATTTTATGATATATTTTTTAATCATATTGATATGCAAACAAATTATGATCTATAGTAATTTTTGTATAGATTTTGATTATCTAAATCTTATTGTTTTAAATATTGAAATTAATTTAATTTAATTTAAATTTGAAAAATTAACCGCAATATTACAAATAAAAGTGGATAGAGTGAATATCTATATCTTCTAATTATAACTGTTTACAAGTAGACACATTTATAGAAAATTGAATACACATCCTACGTAGTAAGTATGTTTATATATGATGCAAAATATCATGTAGGACGCCACATATGATGTACGTATTTATTCGTTTAATTTTATATAAATTTAAATGTCTATTCGTACATATACAGAATTAGAGGCACAAATGTTAGGTAAAGCCAGGTTAATGGGTGTTTATGTATTATGCTTTTCAATAATGTTTCAAGATAAAACTCCCACTATAATTATGTTTAAGTGTTTAATTAGCTCATTTAAAAAATAAAACTACTAGAAAGAACACATCACACACTTTACTCTCAAATAATTATAAATATGGTTTGAGAAAAGTTGTTTACTGACCCTTTTTGTTTGTAGGATTTGGCAAGATTATCTGCCAAATATATATTAAAAAATACCAACACTCAAATTAAACACAATTTTGAATATGAATTTAAATAATATAATCAAATACAATTAATCACAGACTATTGACATTTGACCTCACTTAGCAAAATATGATTAAATTTATAGGTTTTGATTTAGAGTAGGAAAAGTTTGAGAGAAGTTGTACTTACTTTATCAAACAATACTTGTAGGAAAAACAAAACACTATAAAATAGATTTTCTCTTATAGTGGTACCATTATAGTATACTATAAGAATAGCTAATTAATATCCTAGTTTTTCATTTCTCAAATATTATTTTTTTCAAAGAAAAAAAGAATCTTGTATTGTAAAATAAATTTGGCAAGTAAATTAGCACTTATTTTAGTTTAATTTGTGTGTCACTATTTGATTTGACACAAAATTTAAGAATTTTTTTGGTTGTTAAAATGGTCTTAAACATTCCTTGACCACTCGTGTCGTTATAAATTAATTTTTTAAACGTAAAACAGTAATATTTTTTAAAAGTAATTAAAGTTATGTATAAGGCATAATATATAAATATGCTTTTAACTTGATCTCAATTGATATTTGTATCCTCCAACTTTGGATATACATAAGTAGATTCTTAAACTTTTAAAAAATTGAACAAGCAGATATATGTGTTATATGTGACATAATAAAAATAAGACGTCACGTAGGATGCAAACTGGTCATGCAAGACGTCACAAAAGAAAGCATTTATCTATTTATCCAACATAATTTAATTTTTTATGTATCTATTTATGCGTAATCAAAATTGAAAAACATCTATACAAGCTGAAGTCAAAATGTGACACATTTATCGATTATACCTATTTTTTAATTATAGGTGATATTTCGTTAAATGAGGCTGAAAATGAAAGTATGTTTATGAAGAAACTAATAAAATCAAAACTTGGATTTGGGAATGAAAAATCAAAGAAATTAAAAGAAAATAAAAAATAAAAAAAAGGTAAGGGTATTATAGTCAATTCAATGTGCTAAATTAGTGGTAGTAATATGTACTTAATTAATTAAAAGAAACTCAAAAATCAACAAAGAGGGGCCTCGAATCAATGTAGGTGGGGGCAGTTCAGTCAAAGTATCGGAAAAAGTTAGTAGTACTATTGTTGAGAAAAAGACCCTTTTACCACTCTATTAGTTAATTTGTACTTGTACATCATTCTTTTTAAAAAAAATAATAATTAATGTTTATTGAGTTGAGTCTGTCGCATAAAATTTGTCTAACGCTATTTATATTTGTAAATTATTGTATAGTGAAGAATTTATTGAATACATATAAAGTGTTCATATGAAGGACATAGATTATAACAATTTCGAATATGTCTATAACGATTAAAAATAAACGAGAGGAATATTTAATTTTCTTATATTAGTCAAGGAGGTCCTTAGTGATGAACTTTTGACTCTTCTTTTATTGCCGTCCGATAGACTCCTCAATTGACTTACGTGGCATTCATATGGAACACTAGGTCCCACTTGACGTCAACATTTTAATTTTTTTTTAAATACATGTAGATATTCAAACGTGGGAAAATATTGGCCCACCTGCATGAATATTTTTTTATTTTTAATTTTTTGTTTCCCCTATAAAAGTTAGGTTTACTTTTTTTTTTTTGGGACAACAGGTTTACTTTTACTAATAATTTCAAAATGTGCGGATCTAACGTCTTAGACTTGATTGAGCAACAGAAGAAAAGGGAAAAAAATTACGTGAATTAATATATTTTAAAAAATAATTACTGATTTTAATAATATTTTTTATTTATTATTATTTATAGTAGTATTGTGAAAATTTGTTATATATATTAAAAGTAAATTATGTATGTATTATATTTGAAGTGTAATTGTTTATGAAATATATTATGTTTGTTTGGATTAGTGATATGTGTTACAGGTTAAAATAAATGGTTAAGATTTAATTTTTCAAAGTAAACATCTAACCATGATTTAGTTAATAAATACATTATATATCAAATATTGAAATTATTATAATTTCACAATCTTAGTAGCATATTGATCCGTGATTAATAAATTACCTAGAGATAAATGAAAAAATTATTCTAGGATAAAAAGAAATTTAGGAACATAATTTTTTCCCCTATATTTATGGACAAGATAATATGTTGCTAAAATTGTGGAATTATAATAATTTTAATACTTGATATATAACTAAATCATGATTTGATGTTTACTTTGAAAAAATAAATTTTAACTATTTATTTTAACCTAAAACACTTGTCACTAATCCAAATAAAAACTTGAAAAAAATAGAAAGGAGCCTAATCCGTTAGTTTAAAACTTTGAATATTGAATACTTCTTTTTTTTTTTTTGCAATTATTAATTAGTTTGAAAGATATATAATATAAAAGATTGTTTTGTACTTTAAGCAACGTTTTAAAGATGAAAATGTGAGATAATTAAGATGTTGTACTCCCTTCATCAATTTTTAATTGTTATATTACGCTGTACAAAAGTTAATTTAATTAATTATTGAATTAAATTATATTAATTTAATATTTAAATAAAAAACCTAAATATTTAAATTATTATTTTTCACATATTAATACATTATAAAATGGGAGTCAAAATTCTTATAATTTGACTCTAAAAAGAATATGACAATTAAAAATCGAGGTATAGGGATTAGACGGAAGTTTTATAAACTTTTAATCTCAAAAAGATGTTGACATTACATTAGATGATTAAGAAAATTGAAGAAATTCATAGAAAATAAAATTGATTAACGTATTTGTACAAGTGATAAACAATATAATAGTGTTAAACATCATCATCAGATACAAATCAACTGCATGCTTTTAATTTTTAAATAGTTGAAAAATCACAAATTGGACTATTTTCTTTAGCGAAGCAATTGAAATAACAAACTTATTTGTAAAATAAAATGATTTAAGTCTTCAAATTTTTTTTGTGAAGAATTAAAGTTGATATTTTGGAGTTTAAAAAACATCTTTAAGTCTATGGTAAAACTTATTAGAATTTTGTAGAAGAGTATCTTTGATATATAATTAGAAAATATCAATATAGTCTAAAGTATTAGTATTTGAGGGAGATATTTGTGAAAGAAATTCGACACAACTTTAAATATAGAAGACGTTTGGTATTTGTTAATTAGTCCAAATTAAAATAAAAAATTGTTCTTTCATAATCAAGTTCTCCTTTTCAAATTCTTCTTTTTCCATTTCAACTTCCTCTTTAGTTAAATTTTCCGAACTTAATTAATAATCTCGACCGAACAAAATATTTATCAGAGTACGAGCAGTCTGTATCATGCAAAGACATAAAGCTATATGTGCCTCTCTCACTATATATAACCATAAAAACTTAAAAAGCTCAACAATAGCATGATTAAATTCATATTTGTATAACAGTGCATAAAACTGAATATGATTGTATATGAATGTATAAATACCTATCATAATATTGTATAATCTTTTAATGCCAAGTGTATAGTATTGTATATGAAGTTATCAAACATTTTTATAAAAATATATAGAGTCAAAAAGATAGAAAATACATTTAAACTATTCATTTTGAGTTTCATACTCAAAGTATCATTCAATAATTACGAAACATAGCTTGACTAAGTAGATTAATATCATGTCAAAATTAAAGATTTAAATTAAAACTATCTCCAATGATCAACATGTAAATTCTTCTTTTTCACCTCCTTATGTGTGATCTTGTTTCAGCAGTGTATCGACATTTTCGACTTGAAAGGGTAGAAAAGATATTTTAATAGTCAATTAAAAAATATATTAAAAAAATCAATTGTCACCAAATAAGGTGATATATATATGTATGTATATATGTAGTGCAAATATATGAAGATTCTAAAATAACATACCTAGAAATATTTTTAGACAAACATATTTTGTCTAGTCAGTATCTATGTATATTTCGATAAACACACTCAATAGTTGACGCATGAAACTCAATGAAATAGAATAATTTAAGTATGTTTTTGTACTTTTGTATAAAATTTTTGTATATTATTGTATACCAAACGTATATGTTATTATAAATCAAAGTAA